GAACACGTGACCTTGAGGGAGGATAAGGTTTGTAGTGCGAAGAAGATACTATTGCACCGCTGAGGTTCCAACGACAATGTGGGCGTTTGAGCGCTCTATATATACAGATATTCTAATACCACATGATCCCCTGATTACATAATCCTTCACACTAAGCCTTGTCTGAATCCCTGTTCCTTCTATGAGTCATCCCTTATACATGAGTAATTCCATACATAACCGATGTCGCAATGCCCTATTTCTACAAGGTACACAGTGGTTTTAACGATATTATGGCTCTGTTGGTGAAGTATAAATAAACTTCCTTCTGGCTTCTCCTTCTTGGCTCGCACGTTTCCCCGCCGTTACCATCTTCTATCCGCAAAGCGGACGTCCATCCCACCACAAGATCAATGTATCACCAGAATCGATCTTAATGGATATACCCCGCTCATTGCGACATCATATCGTGACAGTCCTGTACGTCCTCCAATGGCGACGAATAATCACACGGAGCAACCAGCCATGCGTGATGGTTTTCACATGTGCCGGCGAGTCAGAATTAAGGTATATTCCAACAACCATGTCGGCCAAAACTAAGGTTGGTTTATTCTATGGTATTATTCTCATCTGAACTTCCAGTCTCGCGGACTGCATCATTACATATAGATATCGATATACCCTCAATGGCTTGGCCAATTAATTAACCTAGTCGATTTGTGGAGAAACTACATGTACTCGCGACCAGCAACAAGAACCCGGATATGCAGCTGCAAGTCTTTGGTGTATTTTTGACTTCTACCCCAATGGAAATTGCAGATTAGGACGTGCATTTTCGGGTTCTTGTTGCTGGTCGCGAGTACCTACCCATCCTTGCCCTAGTTAGCGCCCGCGTGTTTTGACTTTATCCAGGCGATTTTCTTGGAGTAGATCTGGAACTCAATCTAATTTCACGCAGCTATTGGACAAGTAGCTAAGGCCGGCCGGGAAGAGGCCCTCATCTGGAATGGCGCTGGGCTCAGTGTGGTATGACAGGATCCGAGGTCTGATCAAAAACAATCAAATAAACACGAGAATACAAAGCTTTGCGCTCTTTACGGTCATTCAGTCAGGAGTCGCACCTTTCCCCTTGGACTAATGGTTAATTGGATTCGTGGTTCAGTATTGAACCTCGAATAGTTACTACCCTCACCCATAGGAACACCACATCGCTCAAAGGCCATATACATACCGCCTATAGGATGACGACACTCAGGGCATGAATAGCTGGCCCATGGACGTACTGCTAGTTAATTAGCGACCTCCAGCTGAGCCCATGCTACTCGGCGCTCATGTACCACATACTCTAGAGCACGGATAGGGGAATTACGTATATCTTCAAGAGTAGAGAATTGTTCCTGGAGTATAAGAACCGAGGTATTGATCTCTTCTTTCACTTATCATCAAGACGTTTTGCGAGAGCTATTTCATTCAAAATGAAGTATCTGACCCCTTGGCTTTGCCTAGTAACAATCGTCCTGTGCGGTGACCACGATGACATCTCGAGCCAGTTTGGAGCAGCGCGCGAGCTACGGACGTGGGATGAAGCGTATGCTCTTGCCAAAACATTTGTGGCGAAATTGAATACTGCCGAGAAGATATCGCTGTCTTCTGGGTCTGGAATTTCCTTTGGGCCCTGCAGCGGGAATACCCAAGATATTGATCGTTTAGGGTATGTATTATATACATCAAACCTGAAAGGCCTCTTAAGAGCTGTTTCTAACAAGTGAATCTGCGAAGATTCCGTGAGATGTGTTTTCAAGATGGGCCAGTTGGTGTTCGCGGCACTGACAAAGTGAGTGTTTTCCCCGCGGGAATCACTACCGGCAGCACCTGGGATAGTAAGTACATACATACTTACAAAAATTAATTCTCTTTAATTAATTAAACTTACTATTTTTGTTTGTGTAACCTATGCTAACCTCTTTGCGTAGAAGAATTGATGTATCTTCGATCCCGGGCGATGGGGGTTGAAAACCGCCTCAAGGGTGTCAACGTTGCTCTAGCCCCTGTCGCCGGAGGGCTCGGAAGGTTTGAACCCGGCCGTCTAAATCTCATTTTCCCCGGGGAATTGACTTGTGCTAACAATATAGGGCACCGGCTGCGGGTCGTAACTGGGAGGCGTTTGGTTCGGATCCGTACCTGACTGGCGTGGCCAATGCGGAGAGTGTTAAGGGACTCCAAGATGAGGGTGTGATAGCTTGTGCAAAACATTTCGTTGGAAATGAGCGTGAGTTTATTCACCCAGTTCACGACTTCGCAATGGAAGAGCTAGATATTAATTCTAGGTATGCTTGATTAGAGGAGCGATATCGCCTCGTCATCGAGAACATACCCAATTTGGACAGAGAGATATTGGCAAGTTTGAGCAGTCAGATCGACGAACGAACTCTCAGAGAGCTCTACGAATGGCCCTTTGTGGACGCAGTTGAAGCTGGCGCTGGAAGTGTCATGTGTTCCTACCAGCGGGTATTATTCCCCCCCCCCCCGAATATCCAAGTTCTAGTAGACTAAACCTTCAAACTAGGTTAATAATGAGTACTCTTGCGAATCCACAACCCTTATCCGCGACCACCTGAAATCCAATGCCTCAGGTGGTCTAAATTTTAAGGGATTTGTAATGACAGACTGGTTTGCCTCTGCTATACCATCCCTTGCAGCTCGGGCAGGGGTGGATATAATTATGCCCGGAGATATTGGAGCGACTGGGATTGTTGCAGCATTGCTTCCAGCTTCTGATGGTGCAAGTACAAATGGTACAAGACTGGATGAGATGGTGACCAGGTTGGTTGCTAGCTGGTATAAAATGCGACAAGAGACCGATTGGCCGGATGTGTCGTTCTCCACTTGGAGTTCAGATGAGTTTGGTTTGTACTTTCCTAAATATTATTAAGAACTATTTAATGATTGAAACATACATACAGGCGTATTTCTAGACCGTGGTTATATCGGTCAAATCAACTTTCACGCACAAGCCGCCCAGCCCGTCCATGCAACTCTGATACGCAGGATTGCAGCTGAAGGCACCACTCTCCTCAAGAATACTGGAAGCCTTCCGCTCTCCAGCACAGCTCTCTCAATTGGTGTGTTCGGAAACGACGCAGGCCCAATTCCAGAATCCTCATGCGGGACCTTTGGGGCCTGCTCGGCCGGGACCTTAGCAGTCGGCTGGGGCAGTGGTACTGGTACGTTTGAGTATCTTATTGATCCTTTGCAAGCAATCACGGCAAAGGCTGCAGACATAGGCGCAGTGGTCGAGAGTGTGCTGGATGACTATGCGTATACAGAGATTCGGGAGAAAGCCGCGGGAAAGGATGTTTGTTTTGCGTTTGTTAACTCCCGATCTGGGGAGGGAACTAATTCAGTTGAGGAGAACTATGGCGACCGTAATAACCTTACTGTAAGTGTTGCTTCCTTGTGAGGAGTGATCTCTTAGTGAGCTAAGTTGTTTTCTAGGCCTGGAGAGATGGCGATACGCTAGTCAAAACAGTTGCTGCCTCATGTAGTAACACAGTGGTAGTGATTCATTCTGTTGGACCCATCCTGGTTGAAGAATGGGTTGAGAACCCGAATGTGACAGCTGTACTGCTTGCTCATCTCCCGGGTCAGGAAAGCGGGAACTCACTCGTTGATGTACTTTGGGGGGATGTTAACCCGAGTGGGAAACTACCATATACCATGGGCAAGACTGAGGATGACTACTGCTGTAAGGTTCAATACGACTGGACCGGGTTCCAGCCAGAGCAAGAGTTCTCGGAGGGACTGTTTATAGATTATAAGTGGTTTGATAAGAACAACATTGAGCCTAGGTTTGAGTTTGGTTATGGATTGTGTAAGTAACTTATTGCTCTTTCTAAGCGAAGAGCGAGTTATGCTAACTGTTGTTGAAGCCTACACAAACTTTACTTATGACGCCAACTCCCTAACAATCACAGAGCCTTTCGACGAGGTTGATTCAACGGATTTCATGGCACCCCTCTTCAACATTAGCGTCTCGATTACAAATAGCGGCCCGGTCGCCGGCAAAGAAGTGGCACAACTGTACCTGAAGTATCCATCGTCGACGAGCTCACCAGTGCGGCAACTAAGGGGCTTTGAGAAATTATCGCTGCAGCCAGGAGAGACGAAGACTGCAGTGTTTGTGGTCACAAAGAGGGATGTCAGTTATTGGGATAGTGGTGAGTGGAAGGTTGCTAGGGGCGCCGGGTATGGAGTGGAAGTTAGCGCAAGTTCGAGGGATGTTAGGGCACAGGGTGTGGTGACGTTTTAATCGTGGGTCATGAGTGATCACTCGGCAACTCCGCTTCAAAATTAATACATGTATATATGTATTGTAACTTCAATGATTTTTTGAATCCAGATCTATGAAATATTTGGAAAATCCATTCTTATCTTACCCATCTGGAGCCGCAAGAAACTCGCTCACGTGAAGACCCCAACAGCAACGTTTTCATAACCATTGTCCAAAGTAACATTAAGACTTCTTATATAAAGCCCATGACATTCCTTACCAATTCCACTCATCCATGACGTCAAGCCTCACCACCATATAGAGTACAATAGGCAACAGCCTATAATAAAACGCTCAGGAGTAACTCGCCATCTCCCCGGATCGACCACGCCAATACCCCGAGCGCTCGCAACAATCCATCTCCGTCAGAGCACAACTACGGGACGGTAGATGGAAAATCCTCTCCTGATGGTGATCTGCAGACCCCTCGGTTAGCTTTAGGCACATTAGACATCCCAGACCCTCCCACCGCCCATTACCAAGATACAATGAATAGGCTAAACAAAGAAGCTTAATCCACGTTTTATGCATAACACTCGGCACGCTCCGGCCATTCGCCGTCGCGGCCGTCGGGGCTCGATATTACGAAAAGGCGAGAAAAGGGCGTCTATAAAAGCCCCTAGATACTTGCTCTTCAAACCACAAAGCTCCCCCATCTCGAGATATATATCAAACTTGAGAGGAAGAAAATATGCGTTTCCAGGCTCTTCTTACCACATTGCTTGCGGCGCTGCAGCTGGTGAGCGCGGCGACGTATACGAACCCGCTCAAAGATCCGAATGGTAGTGATCCGCATATTGTGTACACTGGCGGGTACTACTACCTCACTACGACGACATGGACGAATATCCAATTGACCAGGGCGACAACGCTGGGTGGGTTGAAGACGGCGACGCCCAAGGTGGTTTGGACGGATACTACCACTGCGAGGTCGGGGAACTTTTGGGCTCCTGGTATGTTTTCTGTCTTTGGTTGCGGGAGTGAATTACTAGTGAGGATGGTGCTAATTGTATGGTTTAGAGCTTCATTATATCGATTCTATGTTTGTACTCCTCGTTGCTGGTCAGTGAGTTAGTGAGTGGAGTTAGAAACTAACGTATACCGCACAGCTGGTACCTCTACTACACCGCTGGAACTGCCGCCTGCTGCGACAACCAGCACCTCCACGTCCTCGTCGGTGGCTCCAGCCCTTGGGATACATACAGCTACAAGGGACAGCTCAGCACGGTCTGGGGTATCGACAGCACCATCCTCCGCTTCCCCTCCCAGATGTACCTCGTCTGGTCACGCTTCTCCCCCAACGGCCTACAGAGCCTGTACATCGCCCCAATGTCAAACCCATGGACCATCGGCACGCCATATCTTCTCTCGGAGCCAACACTCAGCTGGGAGACGGTCAACAACCCGGTAAACGAAGGACCTGCGGCTATGTACTGGGGCGGAAAGACATATATCGCCTATGCGGCGAGTGATTGCTGGACCACGAGTTACCAGATTGGGCTGTTGACGTACAAGGGCTCTGGCGACCCATTGTTGGCTGCTTCGTGGACAAAGACTGGGCCAGTCTTCTCGAGCGCAAATGGAAACTTGGGGACGGCGCATAATGGGTAATTATTGCTCCTTTCCTTCGTTTATTAAGATTAGGCTAATAATGGTGTGATAGATTCTTCATGAGTCCTGATGCGACAGAGGTGTGGAATGTATACCACGCTACTGCAGTTACTACTGGCGCTTGTGATGGTAGGAGGTACACCATGGCCCAGAAGGTGAACTGGAACTCGGACGGCACACCGAACTTTGGGGTTCCGCCCGCGTTATCTTCGGTGCTTACGGGTCCATCTGGCGAATAGAGTGGTCTGGTGTTGATGCGTAGCTTGTGAAACAAAAATATGTATTGTTTATGAATCAATATAAACTTATCTTGTGCTTATCGATCGCGTGATATCTGGTGATTGTGGTGGTGCGGGTAATAGGAATAAAGTTTTTCCGACATGCGCGCTATACCCTTTTGGAGAAGGTGAAATTCTGAACATTAGACCATAACAATACTTATGCAGAACCTGACCCTTGAATATATATTGTATCATTTTATAGGTAGCTGCCCCGTATCGAAGTTGAGGGACTAGGATAGGTGGCTCGGTACTCTGGCGGAAGGAGTCTTTTATCCCCTATGTTAATAGCTGCATGCGAATTAGATTACAAAAGACCACTCGCAGCCTCTCATGGTTCAGAAAAGTGTGCCAGGACAAGTGGATGTTTCGAGAGACCTAAACCCAGCTGGCTCGACCGGACGATTTCTTGCTACTGTATCATGTAGATACCTACTGTTAACCCTTGGGGTTATTAGGGCACACACGTGCCTAACGATATTGATCATGAGATGAGAAACCGGTTTTAACTCATCTCCAGCCTTGGATGAGGGTAAAGAAGTCTTGGGAGTGATATGTGTGAGTTGGAGTTATAGGGGAAGCTTGGATGGCTTTCTGTGTACACGGGTGGGATGAAGGTTGTAGCAAATAAAGTAGCAAATAAAGCTAGTGATTCTTGGCGCCAAGGATAGCTACATCTAAATTTTGGTGTCGCGGGGTAAAATTAAGGTTGGTGTGTGACAGAAATGCATCTCACTCACTCAACTCCTCCATACATATACCTCGTGATGATTAAAGAAATGTTTTACGTTCACGGAATATACCTACCCGGTTGGTCCTGGGAATAATCGAAAACTCTGCCTACTGAAGCCCAGAGATTGCCTTAATTGCGCTGTACTGCATTATTTATCTCGGATGCATCCAGTTCATTTCACCACAGAATAGAACCAACACGAAATGATTGAATACCGGTGAGTATATTGTTTGATAACTAAATAATTCCTTGCGGTACCTGCCCACATATACAATCGATCTCTTTCCCCCCAACACTCCCTTCATCTTTCCCTTCAATTCCCATACCGCCGACCCCTTTTTCCAAACTAGGAACCACAACTGTTTCTCTAGAGATTGCTCACCACAAATTCAGCAGCCTCGCCCGCATTCAAGCTATAAGTCAAATGCGGCGTCAAAATGATGGCCTGGCCCAGACAGATCAAGTCCCCGACATTACAGAACGTCTTCACATGATTGTTCAAGGTACCCGGGAATGCGTCGCCCTCATTTGGGTCTCCGAACAGAACAATCGAGGAGACCATGGCTGCCTCAGCGGTGGAAAGCAGAGCGGCAGCCTTGTGGGTCACTTGTGCTCCTTGGCTATGGAACCGGTTAGCTCTGCCCTGGCCCGCTGGATTTGACGAGGAGTATTTACCTGTAACCGGAAAGAACAATCTTCGTGGTAGGACAGCTAGACTTGATAGTCTTGACATGCCCTGCCATAGTCGATGCGCCAGCTGAGCTCCCACCAGCAAGGAAGCCTATAACATCCGCGGGGTAGTCAACACCCTGGACTGCGACCTCGGCGTTCGACAAATCCGCGACGAGGGCGTTGAAGAACGGGGGGCCCGCGAGAGAGCCAACGTTTCCTGCCTCGGTGGTACCTCGTGCAAAGATGACGGTCACTTCTTTGCAGGCACCGTCGACAATGTCGTTGCGGGTTGTGCTGAGTGACTGGCGGGGTGCAATTGGAGAGGCGCCCACAAAGGAGGTAAGAGCAAGGAGGAAGACAAGTGAGGAGACCATGGTGAGAGCTTATGAATAAGCTGTGGGAATGGGAGTTGTTGGGATGATGGAGTTGTCAATGGAGGGGGATTGAGGTTCGCTTTATAGCATTCCTACTCCTTGTAACATTCCTACTGGTTATACTGCTAGGTCTATTGTTTGACTCTTCTTTACCTGGAATGTTGACGGGCTCCTGGTAGAATTGATACATACCCACGGCGTTTCGGATCGTAACCCGTTCGGACTACCGAGGGGGGTACAAACCGAACCCTGATCTTCCTCCAGTTCCTCGGCCTTGGGAGACGTCCAAATAATCCCGTTGAGGCTTTGAGTACAATGATGTACCACCAAGGTGCTGGCAGCATCTCTAAAACTATAACTCGATCGGCCAAACCTTACCCCACCCACATAACATTATCTATTATCTGCCTTTACTCGACATTTTTCCCGGAACCTAGTGCTGTTAATACTAGCGCAAATAGCACTATAGTATACTAAAAAAAAAACACGGTAAATCCCGTTGTGGCTGGAAGTTTCATATTGATCATTACCAGTGGTCGTCAGGTGGTAACTTAAAACCAACGTTGCAGCGCCCTAACGGGATCTACTAACTTACTTACATTGATTATGCCTCGGCTTTATTACCGGTCTGTGCTACCTGAGTGTATTTTATTATCGCTGGTGAGATATTAGAAACCCCCCCTTTGTGATTGCTGCAAAGTGGCTTGGTAGAAATGGTAATAACTTGTAGTGATATATATCGGCCGAGTGCGTTTGGAAGTTTCCATGCCCGTCGGGGAATGCTGACAATCTTATATGGGGGTAGAAAGAGTTGATAATGCTACTAAATCCTTATTAATTGTTCCGTCTGAATCGATCTCTGTCTAATTTCTTCTATGAATTTTGGCCCCTACGGAAAAAGGGCCAGCTTTGACGGATTATAGTATAAAATATCTTGTTTTATGTTTCTTTATCACTACTAGTGTGAATTATAAGGGGAGCGTTGGTAGACGTTCAGGGATTCAGGGATTCAGGGATTCTATATATGCACGCCAGAGCATCCTCACCTCTAACACCGAAAAAAAGTTGTATAGCGAACGCGCTACCGGTACCCGTAAAATACGACCATTTTCTCTACGCTACACACAACTAACAAGGGTATTCCAGTCTGTCCAGCTCCCCTTCCAAATCCCCAAACCCCTCAAACCCTACCACCTCAGCTCCTGCCAAGACCAATGCAGGGATCAACCCCACACTTTCCCCGCCGGGATCTGCCTATAACGCCCCGATGTTGCACAAAGGGGGTATATAAAAAAGGATCATATACCCCCCTCACAACAACGACTTGTAGCCCTGTACTACTACTACTACTTGGTCAATAAAGACCGAGACCCCCGCTTTTCTGGGCGGCCGAGGAACTCGGTGGTTTTTTTGCGGTTGTGGGGGATTTATGGGACGAACACATGGGGTTTTTTTTGCGTATACATGTGAAGGGTGGCTAGTGATAATGGTGATGATCGACTGGTGCCTTAGAGTAGGTAGTTCGGGGTGGGGTCGAGGGCGTGCCATGTGGGGTAAAGCTCTGCCTAGCTCGGGAAGCTATTATGGGGAACCTAGGGCCTAAAGCTGGGTAGATCCTACAATCTGATTGAATGTGTCTTGCTATACAAAGCTTTAAAGATGGGAATAACGGGAATAATGATTAATTTGGAGGTTTTGTAAATACTACGTGTCTGTTTCCGGTGGTAAAGAAACCCTCAAGCTTCCCCCCCCCCCCCCCCCAAACAAGATACCGTATCAAATTTTGTTGCTAACATTTGCGGGAGGTGCGCTTGAGACGTCTTTTTTACGTACGGCCACCCACAGCTAGCTGTAGGTATGTGTCTCGAGTCAATGATAGTTGAGACTGGATCTTGTACTAGCACGGCACATTGCTTCACTAACCTCTTGAGGAGAGTTTTAATATCTTATCTTATCTTATCTTATCAATGCAACTACCAACTGATCCTGGAACTCCGTTACAGCTAGTGTAACAGGGTTAATGACGGTAAAGTATGGAGGCCGCTTTTATATCATCTTTTTAGCTACCTCGGCCCTATATATAGCACTTCTTACCATCTATTTTTTATCACTCATCTCTATATGAATTAGATAGTAAAACTAACCGCATCCACAGTATTTACATGGTGGTAGCTATGCTCTGTTGGATGGCGTCCTATTGACTATAACCCCATTGAGTTGACAAAGACCTCTAGTAACTCAAACAAAGGATTAATAATACTGACCGGGTCTAGCTACTTGTAATTGAGAGTACAACCTCTATATACTTACATCATGGTTTTAGCTTTACCGGTCTAATTGAAAGTGTCCGTTCGAAGGATGCACAGTTTTCATCCTTATTTTTGACTATAACTTATGTAGCTAGCTAATTATATAATGTCATAACACTGTGTGAAATTGATGTACTAAAACTCTTTAGTAATGCATGATCGAGGGTGAGCTTCGCCGAAGTTTCATATCATAATACCAAATTTGGTCTCTGTTTCCGATTTTATAGTGGCCCACCCCAATCCGCGTCTTGAGGTGGACCAACTCCTTACTGTTTATTCTTTTACAACTGGTTCTGTTACCATCTGTATACGTAGTTGTATGGCTATAATCAAAGGAGAATTGATATGTAATTTTCTCTAACTATTTCAGTTCGAATTTTACTATTTTACAACGTAATCTTGAATTAAACAGACTGAAGCTCCCTCCTCTGTGCCTAAAGCGGTGCCGGTACCGGTACCGGTACTGGTGGATTTCTCTTATTATACTCAACTACCAGCTGCTGTTGTCTCTGCACCCAGCGGGAGTCTCTGGGTAGATTATTTGGGTTTGCTGCATCATCAGCAGCCCGTATAGTGTCTCGGAGACCTCTAGCCGTATCTGATACTACCCTCAGAGCGGCCTCTGCTGCTGAACCAACCATCTGCTCAAATATTAGCACGTCATATTGAAACCAAGAAATTATTAAAGCCATATACGTACCCATCCATAGATCACAATTCTCGTGAGTGCAAAATCTCCTCTCACCAGTGATGCTCGTAATAGTCCAAGTATCCCGGGCATATCTGGTGGGGCATACGAAAAAGTATTTTCATGAGGTATCGGTAAGGACCCATCACATATGACGTGAGAATATGGGGCATGAGTAGCTGCGTGCGCAAAAAGAACAGGACCCAGAGTCACGGCGGGGATATTGATAATATCAGTTCTAAGGATATGAACTGCCGCTGGTACCATCACATCTGGCCCTACACTGCGCTGCCCAAAGCGAAAACGTATGGTACCACCAAATGTGTCCGTGTGTTCAATGTGCTAGAGGAGTGTTAGTAGACTATTTAGATAGGAGCGGGATGGGGCGGACAAACCCCTGTACAGAAAATCGGTCTTCTAAAAGCCATTTCAAATGGATCCCCGTCTGTGACTGTCAGAAGAAATGTGTCCCATAATTCCTGAGTGTTGAGGGGAGTCCAGATGAAGACGCCTGGAATAAGACCGGTGTTGTAACAGAGTTGGGGATTTTCAAACTCCAATCGACGGCTTCTACTGGCGCAGAATTGTTTAAACTTCTCCAATCGAGTAAAATGGGTAGTTAAGTAAACACTAATGGTTTCCAATGCGGCAATATGAAGAGTCATTATCCCACCAAATGAGTTCACCTCCTCGTGGATTATTATGGTGTTGAGCGCCCTGATATTGAGAGTAATGTTTACTAGTAATCTTTGAGCAGGATCTATAATTCTAATTCCATTTACTATCGGTTCATGGATTCCCCAGTAGGTCTGTGGCTGCTCGTATACACCGCCCATCATTTGCCTATAATCTAACGTAAACTCAAATTGAGGACCTATAAATTTTGAGATATAGGCTTGAATTCCCGATTCGACACCTCCCAACGTATTCAGCATACTCCGTGGGATGGGATGATCGAGGCCACCATGGGTAAAAGTGAAGTCAACCTCATTCATACAATAGGTCGGCCACCTTGATATTTCAATCAGACTTGTGGCGTTATGATTTGCATTCCAAGTGGCGTCTAGATTCTCACAGAAGGCCGCAAAGTCTACCTCAGAGTCGAGAGGTGCAATACCCGTCGTTGTCATATACTCCAACTCATCTGTTTCTCCCATCTGAGGAACCACATTCGGTTCTTCCCCTGGCTCGGTCAAGTCATGGGGAGGCTCCTTAAGATATCTAATAAGACTCTGAAACCCCTGCAGCAGGATATGTTTTGGGAGGGTACCAGTACGAAAGCTCAGATTTTTGCCTCCAGCCCCGTTTGTATGTTTGATCAGGACTCTAATTTGCATGCGCCCCCGGAGCATTTGCTGTTGCTCTAAAATGCTTTCTGTCCTTACTCTGGTCTGATGAGTATTTATATACCAGTCGAGAGCTTGGTAACAAGGTGCTACTGGGAGTGAGCGCTCAAGAACTTTCGGACCAACGCTCACGTAGGTCAACGCATTTTGTGGCAGTGCAGATTGCCTATATCGTTTTCTGTTACGGCACTGGCCGGTTGGATCGAAGGCCCCATCAGTATCATACTCAGAATCCGAATGCTCATAAAGTTTTCGTCTATTTCGTTCAATATTACGGGTTCGTCGCACCTTGCGTGGCAAAATGCCAGACATGAGTGGTAGGGTTTCGTCAAATGAATCGTAATTATCGTTGTAGGGCGCATAATAAGCAAAACCAGCCTCCTGCGCCTCTCGTCTTAAATTGCGTGCCAGGGCTTCAGCTTGTGTTGCTGCTGTGGAGATTCGTGCGTCCTCCCAGAATCCTCTGTTTTCAGCGATAACAGGGATTTGGTAGTGATCTGTAGGGGAATCCTGGTGTGCTTCTCTGGATACCACTATTCCACCCTTATTATCACGCAGCCTTCTAGCTCTTATCCTACTTCTTTGTAAAAAATCCCCAGTAGTACTTGTGGTCTGTGTCTCTGTTCCTGTTGTTTCCCTAGAAACCCAAGCCCAAAGAGCCTCGTTGACACACAATGGATAAGGCTTCCGGTATGAAAATGGTCCCAAAACGTTAGTTTGGTTTGGGTTTTCCATCTTATATCCACAAGCCTTCAAGTTATTGTCCTCAGCTGCCATTGCTGGAGTATGGTTACTCATCACAAATCCACCTCTACAGCCAGGTCGTGGTCCCCTTGAATTCCTTCCCACAAGAAGTCTTGGCAAGGCACGTCCAAGAACCTGAGTTTCCAAAGCCTTTTTCCGCAAAGCCCCGGCTCCCAATGCCGCCGTATACTCTGGCGTTCCTTCTGCAAACGTGGTAGTCGCCAGTATATCCACCCCTGTGATAATATATCAGTATGCATAATAAATCTCTTATAGGTCGTATTGAAAGAATGTTCTTTACTGGCTTGCGCAATTTCCGCTGCAGAAACCTTTCCAAGTTCTGACTCCTCCCATGCAGTAGCATCGGCCAGATCCTGCATTTTTGTACTGTGATTATCGGAAGGCAGTTAGAACTGCGTCCCCTCACCTCTATATCAACTAGGGATAATTCACCTGTGGAGTATGACCTTATGATTATCTGGCACAGGAATTACTCTAAACCCGCAATTGCAAGTCTCCCTTCCGCTTGAATCCACCCGAGGTACGCAAGGTGGTAACTGAAAAACCTCAGCACCATCTTCAGGATTGTTCCGTACTCTAGTCTCAGTGTTTGTGTAGCAAATAAGAATTGCACCGGCGTTTTCTAGATGCCACAGGGCTCGCTGAAAATCCCCCGGATGCCTTGCCAACTGTTGCCCTATAGAGTCTAGGGAGTCCTCGTTGTTCAGAGGAGGCAACACCCTCTAGTAGAGGTATTAACAAAAACGAAGCGAATGATGGCCGTGAAATGATTGTTTTTACTTACAGGAATACTAAGAGTTGTATGTATCACCGCACGTGCTGCAGCGACGTTAAACCGTGGGACGTTAAGATCGCGTTTTTCAGCGCCTACAACACCCTCCGAAAGGCTGTGAATGAAATTCCTCATGTACTTTAATACAAAAAGTCCACAATCGGCACCGCCACTCTGGCGCGCGGTAGGTACGTGGGTTACGGCACGCAAGGATTGTATATGATAAGCCCTGAATTGTGGTCTAGATTGACGCTGAGTAGTTTCCCATGCCATTACATCCGGTTTATCTGTGTGAGGTTTTAAAGCCCTCCTTTGTACAAGGGCTCCTACCTGTTCTGTTGGAAGATCTCTGAGTGTCCTGTTGATGTTATGGATAAATCGAGCCGTGACAGGCCCACTAAGGCCCCCAGGAACGACGGATTCATGTTGATAGACATTCCCCGTATATGAGTCGACGATAATGCACCACCAGTGGCGGTTGTGATGGAGGGGAGTGAATGGGATTGCTGGTTCCAGGGCTGGCAGGTGTTCCGTTTTTTGCCCAAGTACGTCTCGTGGTAGAAGGTTTGCGGGGAAACGCCCAAAGTAAATGTCAGTTCGAGGTCTATTGAAATGGCGTATGTATGTGAACACTCGCCGAAACATTCTTAGGTATGCCTGGTACCCGTAGGTAGGGCCCTGAAGCGGGCGCACAGTACGTATCATGGGATTCGCTTGCTCCGACCACCAGGTGTTGACAACTAATTCTGGAGGCTCTGCAGCAGTCCTGTTTAGTGGAGTAAGAAGCAAATCCAGAGCCGCCATTCCTGCCAAGCTAAGCACAAGGTCATGATTTATCCTAGGCCCTGGAACATAAGCTCCACTTTCATCTGGTACGGATATTCGTATATATATAGGTAGCGTAGTCATTGGAACTGGGTAGAGTGCGCTGCGTTCCTGGTAATCCCCCAAGAAAAATACCCAATAACGTTGTGAAAACAAATCCAACCAGGTATTGGTCTGGAAAAGGTCGGTGTATCTTACGAGATCCCTGTTCTCTCGTCTCCCGTCCGTAAGAACAACTTGGTCTTGGAAATGAGCCACGGTAGCCGGAAGGTCTTGCGCTGCACATACTTCATTCAAATCAGTGCATACTTCCGACATAAAAGCTGCGTCGAGCATTTGCTCTTCTATGGACTTTCCGTTAAAGGGCCCAGGGGGAACCCTTTCCGGGTCTTGCGTCCCTGCTACTTGAAATTGAGCCTCGAGATGATTGGCGGGATACCCTCTTTGATCGTCAACATGGTCTGGTAAGTTCCATGCCCCGAAACTTGCAACCCTTGCTTGCCGCCCCTCGGGGGTAAGATTTGTAGCGGCATAAAAGTCATTGAAGATTGGTGCTGATGTTGAGTATATATTATCCGTATCGTCACCCTCGGGAAACCTCTGGTTCATCCTTGTCATTACCTCGGAGCCCACCCATGGTGTAGGGCCCCAATGATTGTTGGCCATCGTAGTGTCTTCCTCTGATTTTCTTTTACTGTAAGGGTATTTTGTTCAAGTTGACAGGCTTGTAGAAATATTTTGTTCACGAGGGGTTAGGATGCGGTTGCACCTGGCTATAGTACTTAAGAAACGATTCATTACGGGCGATATTCGGACTCGTTTCTGACTTCTTTGTTAACTTTACTCCACTATCTCTTTGTTTCAACCCACCTCACCCAGAGCCACGGCCATTATTCCTTACCAATTAGGGTTAACTGGAGGCTATAACCGTGTACAATGAATTCTACTCTGCAAAAAGGTCTCATGGGAGCATACCAGACGATCTATGAATTGCATTCCGTAATGGAAAGGTGTAGACGGCAGTTAACTGTTGATTAGATGGTACTACGTACGGTACTAAGTCCATCGAAACACTGCCAAATATATCAGGCCGAATAGCCGGATTGCCAGTGTGGAAACTCAAATGGTACTCAAGACCATGAATCAATGGCTTCGGAGAGAATCTCGGGATGGCAGGGACTCTTCTGAGATTTAACGACCAGTTAGGCGGGGTTTCCTGTGCATGTGGTGCCTTTGTTCAATAGCAAAAGAGGAAACGCGTGCCAAGCATCGAGTGATGCAACATGCAACGTAAATAGCAGGATTCGCTAAACAATAACTACACCTTATATACAACAGTGAATTCAACAATATTATTTTCCTTTATTTACAGTGTATATTACTTTCGCCATCTAGAATGCTACCCTTCCACACTAGTCGGTTATCTATAAATGATGTCAAAGCACTCGGATATCGACTCGCTATGCGTACTGAGCTACGTCGGTACCGCATTGATCTACGAAACCCATTAGTGAGAATGAATAACCACAACACCGACGTCAGGTACGGCCTAGATCCAGGGCAAATCTCACAGATATAGGCTTTGCATCCTGATTCTCCACGCCTTTCCCGTATATCCCAGCTACCCCACATTATATTTTGTGGATTTTTCCGTTGAACAGAATAGTTCAGGCTAATGTGAAGAGATATCTGTAGCCCCGGGAAGTTTACCCCAGGTTAAAATCCCTTTCCCCAGGATCTTCCTCCCGAATCCCCCGCCTTTTTTAAGCATCTATCATGGCACGTATGTACTTGTCATGATAGGCTCATTCTGAATAGCCTGATAATCCACACTGTCAAATCCGGGTTCTCATCGCAATTTCGCTTCTTTAGCCTGGGAACGGAGGTAAAATTTCGACGATTTAATTGCATAATAATATAGTCCTTTTTACCTCATTGTTGGAAACAACTATGTATCTCATGACTTATATGGGGCCCAGTCATTTGGCTTAAATAGCAAAGCCTGGGAGTTATCTCTCCTTCCAACCTCAATTCCCCCAAGGACGTTTCCTAAAGGCGTGCTCTTACTTGTGCTTCTGCGTTACTGAAGAGGCAGAAGAAGATGTTGCGAAATGATCAATTCCTCCGGGTGCTGCCATTTTTGGCTATCCTGACAATTTTTCTGAATCCGTTTTTTGTCAATGCACTTGGACAGAAGAGAACGATTTCCTTTGAAAAAGTCGATGGTGGAATAAGCCTAGTCGCCCAAGGACAAACTGCTGCTTTGCTCCTGGACGGAAATGGTATTTCTTGCCATCCATACTTATACACTCCACTCATTGGTGCTATACTAATATTCTCAACCGCACTTGCAGATTGGCCTGGAGTGATCCGCGCCGCCAAAGACCTCGCCGAAGATTTCAATCGAGTAACCGGCCACAGCCTCACACTGACCCTCGGCAATACGACCACCGCCTCCTCTACCAAGTCTAAGACCGCCATAATAGTCGGCACCATCGGCAAATCCACGCTCATCAACAAACTCATCACCGCCGGCAAGCTCGACGTGTCTAACACCACCGGGAAATGGGAGTCCTTCCAGACGCAAGTTGTCCAAAACCCGCTCCCGGGTTACACCTCGGCGCTCGTAATCTCGGGAAGCGACAAGCGCGGCTCCATCTTCGGCATCTACGACCTGTCTGAACAGATCGGCGTGTCTCCGTGGTACTTCTGGGCAGATGTGCCAATAACCAGGCATTCGAGTGTGTATGCGCTCGATGTGCTGCGCGTGCAGGGCCCGCCGTCGGTAAAGTACCGCGGTATCTTCTTGAACGATGAGCAGCCGGCATTGACGAACTGGGTCAATGAGAACTTCCCTCCCGGGAAGTATGGACCTGGGTATAACCATGAGTTCTATAGCCTTGTATTTGAGCTGCTGCTTCGTCTTAGGGCAAACTTTCTGTGGCCCACTATGTGGGACAGTATGTTTGGCGTTGATGATGCTGAGAACCAGGCGACGGCTGACATGTATGGGATTGTGATGTCGACGTCCCATACGGAGCCCTTGATGAGGAGTACCAAGGAGTGGAATACGTTGGGTAACGGCACATGGAGCTATGCAACCAACGAGGAGAACATCAAAGAGTACTGGAGAGAAGGTGTAGAGCGAGGCAAAGACTTTGAAAACTACTGGACAGTGGGGATGAGAGGTAATGGTGATAACATCTTGAGCGAAAATGTCGTGACGGATTTGTTGGAGAAGGTAGTGGCAGATCAAAGAGAGATCCTCAGTGATGTCCTAGGCGTAGATGTTGAAACGGTACCCCAGGTGTGGTGTTTGTACAAAGATGTAGGCTTCCTCTTGGCGTCCCTGCATCAACAATATTCCTAATTAACATTACCTACAGATTCAATCTTATTACGAAGAAGGGATGAGGGTTCCGGATGATGTTACTCTTCTGTGGGCTGACGACAACTGGGGAAATCTTCGAAGGGCCCCAGTCAGTAACGAGACTGACAGAGTTGGTGGTGCGGGTATCTACTACCACTTTGACTGTAAGATTCTACTACCTCAACCATAACCACCAGAAATCATTCTAACCTGTCTGGACAAAAGTTGTTGGCGACCCAAGAGATTACAAATGGATCAACACCATGCAACTCCAAAAGGTCTGGGAGCAGATGAACATCGCATATCAAAAGAATGCTCGCCAAATCTGGGTAGTAAACGTCGGAGACCTCAAGCCACTCGTAAGAAGTCCGTAAATCACATTTTAGCACATTTTCTGACTCCAATCCCAGGAACTCCCAATCGACTACTTTATGAGCCTTGCTTATGACTTTGACACCTGGGGTCCCGTCGACAAGGTTTACAGCTGGGAACAAGCCTGGGCCTCGCGCGAATTTGGCTCTGAGCTCGGCCCCGAGATTGCTTCAATTATTGACACCTACGGTAAATTTGCCGGGCGACGCAAGTTTGAATTGGTAGACCCCTCAACTTACAACATCATCAACTACCGCGAAGCCGACACGGTCCTTGCGGCATGGAAAGATCTTTCTGCGAGAGCTGAAGCGGTCTATGACAAGCTATCCCATAACGTGAAGCCGGCATTCTTCCAGCTTGTGTCGTATCCAGTGAAGGCTGCGTACATCGTCCATGATATACATATCTCGTCGGCGAAGAACAACCTCTATGCAAATCAGAGGAGAAACAGTGCCAATTCTCTGGCAAACTATGTCATGGAGAGGTTCAAGGATGATCACAAGCTCACAGAGCAGTACCACAAACTGCTGGACGGGAAATGGAATCACATGGCGTCACAAACCCATCTTGGATATCAGTACTGGTGCGTGCCATCCGTTATGAAACTCATAAAATCACAATCATCTAAGCACTGCTAACAATTTCTCTAGGCAGCAGCCCATGCGTAACACTCTCCCACCACTAGCCTGGACACAGCTCCTCGAGAACTCTCTTGCTGGCTCACTGGGTGTCAGCATTGAGTCCAGCAACGGATCCATCCCCGGCGATGACCGCTACAATACCGTGTCTTATGGCAACAACACTCTCGTCCTGCCTGTCCTAGACCCCTTTAGCAGCACCCAAACCCGCTGGATCGAGGTTTTCAGCAAGGGCACCAACTCCTTCAACTTCACCATCAAGCCCCACAATCCCTGGGTCAAAGTCAACCCCTCCTCCGGCTACATCAACTCACAATCCAAAGACATAACCGACGTCCGCGTCGAGGTCTCTGTGGACTGGGCCGCCGCCCCGGAAGGCTACAATATAGCCTTCATCGACATTTTCTCCTCAGCCTCATACGGCAATTTCGGCGCCCCATCCGTCAACCTCCCCATCAACAAGACCTCAATCCCATCCTCCTTCACCAATGGCTTCGTCGAATCCAACAAGTACATCTCCATCGAAGCCGAGCACACCTCACGCAACACCTCCACCGCCGACGCAGCCTACCAAACCATCCCCCAGCTCGGCCGCACCCTCTCCGGCGTAGCCCTCACCCCCATCCTGGCGCCCACCCAAACACCGCCAGACTCCCCCCGTCTCGAGTACGACCTCTACGTCTTCACCACCCCGGCCTACAACGCAAACATCACGCTCTACCTCGGCCCCGCACTCAACATGGACCCGTACCGCCCGCTCAAGTACGCCATCGCGCTCGACGATGCCGCCCCGCAGGTTGTGCGCTTTGTCCCCGACGCGAAGCCGCTGGACATGCCGGCGGGCTGGGAGAAGGCCGTCGAGGACGCGGTGTGGATGTCGGTCACCAACCACACGGTGGCGAGTGCGGGAAAGCATACGCTCAAGATCTGGGCGGTGGAGCCCGGTGTGGTCTTCCAGAAGGTGGTGGTGGACTTGGGCGGCGTGAAGCCGTCGTACTTGGGGCCGCCAGAGTCGGTGAGGGTTTAGATATATGTAGTGTGGACGTGTAATGTGTGCATGTGGTGGGGATGTGTATATGATGTAGTTAATATTTATATTTAGTTTTATAAATATAGTTAATTAGGACCGGTGCATCTTTTCATCTACATGCTTGTATCCGCATAATAGTGATTACCGCCAACGTCCCATCGCTATCGATTAGGAAGCAATTGTTCGTTACCCTACCAGACCAAGAGCCGCAACAGACCCATTATGTTGGAAGTAATCTATACAGGTCATATAGCGTCTCATGACCAGAATTATAAAGAACCAAGAAAAAACCGCAAAGTGAGAGGAAGGCGCGGGGGGGGGGGGGGGGGTCAATGACCAAGAATGCAACATTATGACTCCTCCTCACAACCCCTAACCCTGTGTCGCCAAGAGCACGTCAAATAGCGACGACCCCCAGGCTGTTCGCAATTGTTCAAGTAAATTTGATTGTTCTCGTGCCGTAGCTAGCACATCTATGTTTATTCAGGTCCGCTAACAAGACGGACAGATTTGCCAGCCCGACCTGGTTCAGCCGCCGCTGACCCGTGTCCTGACACAGTATAGGACTAGCGCGTATATAAACGTAGCTATATATATGTAAATACATGTATTGGGATTATATTAATCGGTGCTTGTGTCCGGATGTATTATCCTGGATGTTCTTTGAGCAATCTACGATCGGCAATACGTTCGTTGTTATAACTTTCTCTTTATCTAAAGATCGGTTCTATACTATTCTGCTACCGATCCCTTTGTCCCACCTCAACCTCAACAACAACAATAACGACAACAACAACCAATGTTCCTTTGTTCGCGACACAATCGAATGCGAGGCAGAAGGGCATCTAACCAAGTCCATAACTGCAACCATCTCACTCAAGTACGAGTCACGGAGTCAAAGTTATTGTTCGTTTAGCTCATGTTTAATTCAATGAATTATCAACCAATCAATCACGTTTACTTCACCACTCGGCACTCGGACAGCACAAACTAGCAGAATCACAACTTATCACTCGTATCGAATTTATTTTATATTTTTCGTCCCCAACCACACCCCCCGCATAATCGATTATCTAGAATCATGACACATAAACTGACTGCACCGCCACATCTAGATTGTTGGCCATCCGCCGCTCCAGCCGATGACGTTCCATCCGAACCTCTTCTGGCCGTCTCCGTAGCCGATGGTAGTGTCGACTGATGTGATGTTAGTACAATGTCATACAAGCACGATCTATCAAAATGCATGGGAAAAGTACCGTAGTGGTAGTAGAGGATGGCACCTCCGGCCTTAGAGTCAGCAAAGACACCCTGGCCACCGGGTCCATACACGTTATCGTGCGAAGTGAGAACGGGGGTCCCGCCACTCGCAGTGCAGGAGACACCGTTACGGTCGTACTATATCACAGACTGTTAGCAGTCATCACCAGAGGGAGGGGGGACAGGGGAACACGTACGTAGCCACCGTTGATGGTTGTCGAGACACAGACGTTGATGCGGTACTCATTGCCCTGGCTTGGGCGGCTGGAGTCGTATCCGCAGCAGGTACCAGACGAGAAGAAGAGGTAGTAGTATGGTGAGCGGTAGTAGATGTTTGATCCCTCGACGGCGTGGGCTCCACTGGCGTTGTATGCGATCCGGACGGAGGTCCCCGCGGTGGTGAGCGGCGGGTTGGCCATGGGCACTTGGTAGATGTCGCCCCAGAAGCTGCCGAAGCTCATGTAGTATGATCCGGCGGTGGAGAGAACGAGATTTCCGTCAATAGCGTTGTATGCGCTGCCGGTATAACTGCGGATACCGGTGCTTCCGTGGTCGGTCCATGTGCCTACATCCATAGTTGTCGAGGTGGCAACTCCAATTGCGGATTCCTGGGAACCAAATGTCGAGACGGAGTAGTAGAGGTAGTAGACATCGCCGACCTTTGAAATATCAGGAGCCCACAGGTCCGTATTACCCGCAAGGGCAATGGAGGAACCACTTGGGAGTGCACTTCCCTGAATGGTCCATGGGCCGGAGATGTCGGATGCGGTAGCGATCTGGATCTTGTTACCGGTCGAGAAGCGGAAGTAAGTGCCGTCCGAGGTACGGCGGATCACAGCAGGATCGTGGACGTTGCAAGAGCCAGTGCAAGCGCCGGGGTTGGCGACCGCGAGCACGGTGCTGAGGAGGGAGCTGAGGAGAACAAAGAGGAACAACATTGCAGTGGATTGTGCTTGAAGTTCTGGCTGAGGTCGAACGGTAAAGATGGGCGGGATGGAGTCGTTTTAAAGTTGTGGGATTGAGTGGTGATGATCAGGATATCATGATTTTCGCATGGGAATTTTCTTAGTGTTTTCCCGAATGTGTGTACCCAATGCTTCCACGTCAGGGGTCTTGAGCTGTGATTTGAGGGGCTATCCTCGGACGAGCTAAGGCCGAGACGTTTTTTATATATTTCGTTATCCCCTTCAATAACTTGGCAGTGGTGCCATGTTGAGATTGAATTGGTGCAGAAAGGCTTGTTGAACCATGGTCAGCTTCCTTGTATGTAACTCCATTATTACTGCGGTATATACTCTAGGAGGTCAATTGAATTCGGCAACTTCCACGCATGACCAGAGAGCATCATTACTTTCTCCCTTTTGGTATTGCATTGCTCTCGGAGCCGGCGCCGGCGTGGTCCTGGCCCTAGCTTTGGCTGATGATGTTGATATTTTGATGTTGACATATATCTGCTGAAGAATCACCCCCCTGTCAGAGCTAGCTCGACTTCAGCCGGAATGCGAAACACTACCATCTAAGCGGCGGGTCTACTGCACCCCACAGAACGTTCATTATATATAATTACCCTGCATCCCCATGTAAAATATGCTTAAAGCCAAAAGTGAATAAAGTCACGCCCTGAAATGATCCAGGAACAGGTAGGAAGGTACTCCGCAATTTCGTTTCTCCCATGGTCGAACACTAGGACCCCACCTTTTTACCGGATTCCGAACGGCTAAAACTGGCTAATATGCTCTGCTACCTAGCCAGCCATTCAATATTCTCCTAGTCAGGAGCACTTTAAGACTTTCAATGAGGAACATTTTGATCTCGCATCATAATACCGAGGCGTCGGAGAATTCGAGCCCACGTTCCGGAGATCGCGTGCGGAGGTGCGGCGAGGCTTTCCGTCGTTCGGGCTTCTATGCGATCTCCGAGTTTAGCTCACTTATAGCTTTTAGCCGGCTAGGCTGGGCTGAGCTGGGCGAAACCTACAGCGTTCGGGTGAGCCAGCTGTTCATGGATTGTCACTCGAGGCGCGGTTGTGTGGTGGGGAGTTGAGTGTGATAAGGCTGAGCAACGTTTAATTCGCCACGTTATGTCACGGAGCTATATATCTAGGAGCTTAATAGAATTAATTCCCGACGCCATAAAGTACCGTTATATGTGAATGCTTACTTAAAGATGCATAAGTGCATCGCTTCATATCTACCGAATTAACCCAGCTTGGTGAACGTGCGGTAACGTGATAACACTGGATATTTCGAAAAACATCCATATTAGGGTCCGTTCGGGGGGTGCCTAAGATGATGTTTATACCATGGCCCAACAGCTCAGTTGTTATACCTGTCCAGAGATTAGGAAAATTCATTTTCTCTCCCCCGAAAACGGAGTTTTAATTTTCACAAGAACTAGCTCTGACCAATTAATAATTTTCAGCTCCATGGAGGTTGCGTTTACAATGCTTTAACCGGCCTATTACCCATGGCAGTAGGCCGACATCTAGCTGTCGAAACTACCTCTAGATTTCAGGATAGGGTCTGTACAGTCCATGAAATACCTGCGCTGCAGAGCTGTGTTAACTTTTGTGATGAGGAGGGGAGGGGAGGGGAGGGGAGCCTGATATCTCTTATATATACTGTCAATAAAGAACAACAATCACAGTCGATCAGTTGGAGGAGGGGGGTACGTGGTCGATTAACAAGTAAATACATATATGTAGTTAACAAGTAAACTCCTCCACAATAAACCACGTCTTACCAGTTGATCAGTAATCACTAGTGGACACTTGTACATACATGTAACTACCTTAAAATCTTCCTATGCGGCAAAAGCCAACACAATACTCACTAGCCACGACTCCAGCCACCTAATACTCTATTCACCACATGCATTACATGAACACTACAATCTGGGACCAACGACCACGCATCATGAGTATGGTGGCTTAAAACTCAGAAGGCGAATTTTGTTTATAGCAGCCCAACTCGCGAAAAAAAGGTGTCAACTCCACGTAATGAAACCGGAGTGTTCCCAATATACAACTCCCATTGTAGCCTCCGTTTCTCCAGATTCCGCCAACACATGTAGCTACTGACGAAGAATGAGTGCAACGTTATTTTACACTCCAGAGGCCAGCCCCCAAACGAGCCTTATTGAGCTTCACCCCGTACATATAGCTACCAGTGAATCTATCACTCTTTATTTCTGGGAATTCCTACTCTCTACGCCCAGCTAACCCAACCAGGCCTAGTCCACTGTACTACCATATACTCTAATCAGTTAATTCCTGGGATTGCTCTCTTCACAGCATCCATTCCTCAGCACCCCATTTTCCCCCACCACCGCCGCAGCGCCAGACTGCTTATGTGCAACCGCATCCTTTAGGTCCGTCTTGAGCAGTACGCTCTTGTTGAACGCTTGTCTGTACAGGTTACAAGAGGATTAGTAAGGTGGTCATAAGGTGACCGTGGAGCAAGATGGTGAACTTACGTGGATGGTGGGACGTCCAGTGCTGGATTCCGCTCAAAGAAGTTGACGGGCTTGAATGAGACTTTGATGGTTTCGCAAGGCATGACCTGATATGTACATTAGTACTGCGCCGAGGTTAGAACCTGGAAAGGGATACTTACGGGGAAGTCTTCAATCCGGGGAATATGGTTGATCCCTGTTCAGTTGTCAGTGATAATTCCCGAAACCATTCCGCCACTCCCTTCAACCACCCCGAGACAGCGCCCAACCAACACCTCTCTCAAAACCACCTACAGCCATAACGGAAAAAAAACCTACCAAACTGCACCCAAACCACCAAATCCTCATCCACCACCGCCTCCCCCTCTCCGCCCACGTCCTCACCCCCTCCCCACCCCTCGACTGATTCGTCCACTTCCCCGCCGCCCACAGCTCCCCCTCCCTATACCTTGTCACATACACCGCCTTATCCGCAAACTCCGCCCTGCGATAATGCCAGCTTTCCCTATCCGCCAGCATCTTCTGGAACGGCGGCACCGCAATCTTATACCCCACCGCCTTCCCATTAACGGGGTTCCTCACGCCCGCATTCTGTATCTTAAACACCCTGTTCCTATTCACGTCCGTGTCCAGCCCCGACGACGTCTCCACCACCGTTTCCCGCGTGACGTAGCCCACGCCGTGCGGGTTCGCCTTGGGGTCGCGCGGGAGCGCGTGGGCCTCCTCATAGACGAGCCTGTTCTCGTGCCCGTCGATGGCGGGGTCGAGGCGGAGGGAGAAGAGGTGCTGATGGTGCGCGGCCAGCACACCCGGGTGGACGACGGTGCCCCAGGGTACCTCGACGCCCTCGTCGATGGGCGCGGTGCTGAGGATGCCCGTGGTGCGCACCTCGTAGCTCATCTCGCCGGCTTGGTTGAAGATGAAGGCGAGGATGTATTCGTAGTTTGAGACGGTGATGATGGACTGGATGACGAGCTCGCGTTTGCGGATGATGACGGCGCGGCCGGTGCGGTAGTTTGTGTGCTTGAAGCCGATGCCGGCGTCTTGTTCATGCACGCAGATGACGTTGGGCATGGCCTGGGGGTTGCCGGCATCGTCGCAGAGGGTCGCGGAGAAGTAGTGGATGGAGCCTAGACAGTCGCATCCGAGGCTTAGGTTGTTCGCCATGACCCCGGCACCCTATTGTTTTTATATATACTTCAGTCTTTGATACCGAGTGAGATATCATGATTGGGCAGGGGCCAAAGGAAAAAAAGATTCTTACCACATCTCCTAGATCAAACGCCGCCTTTTTATGGTACGGAGGCCGTGGATCCCCATAAGGGATATTCATATCACTCAGCGACACCCTCCAAAACAAGCTCCTCCCATCATACGTCACATTATACAGCACCACACCCTCCCTATGGTTAAACCCGACCCGGAACCTCCATTTCTGCCACTCCACAACCCCGCCTCCAAGATGCTCATCCAAGATCTGGAACGACGCGCCTTCCGGCTGAACCACCTGCAGCGGCTTCAGGTCTGTCCGGAGCGATGGCTGGCATTCGGGGGTGTACTCGGAGGGCGGCGGGACCTTGTATGGCTTCGGTAGAGTGGGCGTGAAGCCGGCTCCGGTGGGGAGGTTCTCGATCCGGGTGACCTTGCTGGTCTGGACGTCGAAGACAGGGCATATGGAGAGTGGGAAAGCGTAGTGGTTTGAGTCGGGGTTCTTGCTGTGCGGGTCCTGGATGTAGAGGAAGCACTGGAATTGGCGGCGGAAGTCCGCAACGCCATCGGAACCTAGACAGATCAATAAAAGTAAGCTTACCAAAACTCAACCCAAAAGCTTTATAAAAAAACATTTATAGCCTGACAAGAGCCCGAGGGAATAATACACACCAAACGTCCACGGATCCGAAATCACCACCGTCCCCTCCGGCAGCTCCAACTTCGCCAGCTCCGCCTTGACCCCCTCATCCTGCAACACCACCTCCTCCACCTTCACAATCTCCTGCCCATCCGCATGCGCATGATACCCCTCCTTTACCCTAAAATTACTCTCTAACACCGCCACCGATCCCTCCTCTCCCTCCTGCTCAAGCAGTATATACGCCTCAAACAGCTTGTCGGTGTTGCGGACGTAATACGATATGTAGCCCCGTCGCGGGGGTCTCTCGCCGCCATTGTCCATCCACGAGATCAAAGAGGCTTTGGTGGGCTCGCTGAGGGTGATGATCTTGAACTGCAGGTCCGCCGTGGGCGGGTATGCGGCTTTGAGGGCGGCGGCACATGATCGGATCTCGTCCGGGGTGAGGGGAGTGAGAGGGTGGAGAGGAGAAGGAGGAGAGGTAGCTGGTGCCATTGTGGGCTGAGTGGATGAGCTGCTGACCAGTAATTTAGCTGAGTGCAATCCAAGAGTGCTTTAAAACTAGTGGAGCAATTGGGGATATAAAGAAGGTGGGAATATAAATTACAGTAGTACCAGGTTTGGGTGGTGAAGATATGGACGTCGAAGATGGCGCGGAGGAGAGAAATATTCTAGAGCTGGCCAATCACAGCTCGAGCAAGGAAGGGGACAGGTATGTATGTATGTATGTATGTATATCGCAGATGAGCTCGATCGAGAGCCAGAGATAACTGGACAGCACAAAGCCAAGCAATGGGATAAGAAAAAAAGTGCCAGCAAACTCACCGAGTGGGCGCAAGGATTTTCGGAAGAGAAAGAAAAGAAAGAAAGGCCAGAAGACGGGAGGGAGTTGCCATGACCAGTGCTTCTTCTTCTTCTCAATGGATGGATGGATCGATGAGTAGTTAGGGCTAGCTAAGTATGTAAAGTACAAGATAGCTAACCGGGAATGCGCAGTCTACTCTAGTGGAAGCTTCAGCCTTCAATTCGCTGCCTGCAGGCACAGCTAGCTAGATGTAGCTGGGGGGGTTAAGTAACGAGGGTCTAGAATGAAATTTGGATATGAAAAAAACTAGAGAAAAACTCTCCGGTTCTCGAATCAAGCCCAGACCAAGTCGATCTGCAAAAGAATAAATAGAGTACTGGCGCCAACGTACGTTTGATGTAGAGTAGATGACTACCGGCAGAGCAGTGGCAAACCGAGGTTTCGTTCCGTTTTATGTCTATCTAATCGGCATTCACCGTCCTTAATCTACTCTGAGGGCTACCGGGTTGGGAAGCTTGAGACAGCCAATGGGAGGATTTTGGGGCAATGGCCAGGATGCGTCTTTCTCCAATTGAAGGAGCTCAGGTGAATATCGAAGCCTTTTATATTATACCATCACCTACTAATAATCAATGCACGACGGTGTAGATTAGGTATGTACATACATGTAGGTATATCAATGGAGTAGGGTATGTATGTACATCATGCCCCGACCTGTAGGAATCTCTCATACAGAAACCCTCTCATTCGAATCTGCAAAGGTCTCCGAGTTTGTAGCTCGTATGCGAAACCAGCACTTTCCTCCTCCCCTTGAGAAACATCACGCTCGTACTCTCCGTTCTTTCGCCGCCTTTGTCCTAATGTACTTCATTCCGTCACGCTATATACGTGGAGTACAGTACATATGTAGGTACATACCCCGCACAGGTGTTGTCCACTGACTCGTGTGGACTTTCCGGATACGGGGTGCGGGGCGGAGAAGAACGTACGGAATTGAGCGAGACTCCGACTATCCGAAGTTACGTTCAAGGGGAAATGACAGAGACAAGAGAGACAATGATGTTGAAATGAAGAGGCTGCTGAGAGTTTCATATTTTGCTTCCAGTTGTAGCGACGTTGTTAATACTTGTATCCTTATTATAGCGGTCAGTCCGAATCACAATCCGTGACCGAACCTGATATAGCAACTGTGCTCTGTTGAACGCAGTTACCTACGTCTGTTCATACTGTTAACATTTATCTTACGTACATACGTCTCTAGCCGGCTTGGTCATTTGCCATTGACCGAGAACACTGTACATCCCTTCGTGCGTTTTCAGCACCGGGCGCTATTTGGAGAGACTAAACCGGTCAAGTAAAATCTCTTGTAAATCCTCTATTACTAAACCTAACCCTCACTCCATGAACCTCTTTAGTGTGAATGTAACGCTCGTCACCCTTCCTTCAGCAGATCGTTTCGTTTTTTGAATGAGTTTATTCTCTTTTTGGCAGCGTTACAATCCAATCACAGCTAGTATACTGAATATCACCACGCCGTTTCTTCGGCAAAAAGTTGTGAATTGCGGGAACGAACGAAGGGATACTGGCAATATCTATCCTGTTACTAAATTTCGTAAGGCATGAATACGGGAAAGAACCGATTTAGAACACGACTTCTCGAAATCTGATTTTGGAAAAAACCGAGCACACAAGACATCCCCGAAGAGATCTGCATAATCCCAGCATGCTTATCGATAAGGGTCGGTCAGCCCCACATCACACCCCGGTCATGCAAAAAAGAAACTTCTCCGCCCTTTCCCCAGATCTGGAGGTGTAACAACGGGCAGACTTCTGTCACTCCAAAAATACAACATCGATTCGAATCAATTTCAATCCAATCTCTGCCCCCAGGCTACATTTGAACCCAATGTCTTCATCAATTGAGAATCACAAGACCGTCCCTGAGCAGTTTACCGGCTATGCCGCGTTTTCTGGTAACTTCCACATTGACCCTTCCCTCCAAAAGCCTCGCTGCGCATAAACTAACCAGCCATCTCACCAGCCGAGACCTGGTCGGATCTCAAACTCCACAAATTCACCCCCAAGCCATTCGGAGACTATGACATTGATATTAAAGTCCGCTATTGTGGTGTCTGTGGCAGCGACCTGCACGTCTCATAGATCCCCTAGCCCTTTTCCCCTTTGCTAACAAACACATCGCCGTAGCCATGTCCTCCGCTCCGGATGGTCACCGTCGATATATCCCTGCGTCGCCGGCCACGAGATCACGGGCGAAGTAATCTGCGTCGGGCCCCTCGTCACCTCGTCCTCACTCCAGCCAGGCTCTATCGTCGGTGTCGGCTCACAGGCCTGGTCGTGCGGCGGTTGCGATGCGTGTGCGGGTGAAGACATTGGCACAAAGCCAGGTGACGGTAAGGACTGGGGTGCGGCGGGAGAGCATGGCCATGGCGGTGAGAAGGGTTTGAGAGGGGGAAGGAGAATTACTGCAAGGAGGTTGTGGAGACGTATAATTGGAGGTATAAAGACGGGAGCGCGGGATATGGCGGATATGCGGATTATGTTCGGATCCATGAGAAGTAATGCGACCCCCGTCTGGATCTACAAACTTTCGAGCTTCGGACTGACTGGTGTGGCGGGGATAGCTTTGTGTACCCGATTCCTGAGGGCATTCCCGAAGAAATAGTAGCGCCAATGTTCTGTGGCGGCGTGACAATGTATTCACCCCTCAGGCGCGCCAACATCGGCCCCGGTTCCAAAGTCGGGATTGTCGGCATCGGCGGCCTCGGCCATTTCGGCATCCTGTTCGCAAAGGCCCTCGGTGCCACCGTCACCGCTATTTCTCACTCTCCTCGCAAAGCCGCCGATGCGAGCGCCCTCGGTGCCTCCCAATTCCTCTCGACCGCCGCGCCGGGATGGAACGCTCCTCACCTGCGAACTCTCGATCTCATCATCAGCACCAACTTCTCGACGGACATGCCACTGGGCGAGTACCTCTCGCTGCTGAAAGTGGGGGGTACTCTTGTGATCTGCGGTATCCCGGAGGGTGATTTGCCGCGGTTGTCGTGGGCGGATATTGCAGCGGCAAATTTGGCGATACGGGGGAGTAATGTGGGGTCGAAGAAGGAGATAGCGGAGATGCTGGAGTTAGTGAAGGAGAAAGGAGTAAAGAGTTGGGTGGAGGTTGTGGGGATGAAGGATGTGGAGGATGTGGTGAAGAGATTAGATAGAGGAGAGTGTAGGTACAGGTATGTGTTGAAGGCGGATTTTGAGGAGTAGATTAGTTGTGTACTAGTGTGTATAGAATACTTGGGGATATGTATCCCTAGGCTATTCACCCGGCAAACATCGAGTAGACATTGCTTACATCTACTGAGAACTTGTTTGTCCGATTCTTTAGTTTGCCGAGTAATTAATTCTCTTCCGTAACTAATAGTAAAATGTGAGTAAGAATACCACGAAACCGCCAATATACGAGACAACGGCCTTACAATTTATAAAGTGAGGCCACGGTCCCCGATCCTCCATATCAGGACGAAAAGTCGCAGAAAGGTGCGCCATAATCATAATAAATCACTCGGTTGTACTTGGCTCTCAAATGCGTACCTTTGGGCTGTCCAAACCTAACATGTCACCGCCGTCACTATATAGTAATTAGTTAGACTCTTCGTTGATAAAAAAGTCACTTAACTATCTCGTCCTACTTTTTCAGCGTAGTCTTTCCTAATTCTACGTAGACTTGAAAGGAATCCAGTACAGCCGCGTTTGAAAAGTATTAGCATCTCCAAGCCAAACTCACGAGGCAGTTCTTTCTGCTTTTCAACCCTCATATTCGAGGCAATTGCCAGAGAGAGCTGCAATGTCTCTATTGCGGTCATACCTATCAATAAGTTGAGTATGCGCGAGTGCCATGGTTGTTGGTGGGCTACAATTCATGAACGACTCAATATAGTAGGGTGCCAGTACTTTTCGAATGCGGCTGTACATACATATGTATGTATATGCTCCGTCCCACTCAAAAATACTAATCATTGGCTTTTCAGATAGTCCATTGGCCAGCTGAGACGATCGGTGAATCACCTCTTGTTTTCACTCACACTCAGAGGTGGTTTTCTATAATCCTCATGGTATTTGAAGCTACATTAGAGTTCACCACCCTCAAGGTTGCTCCATTTCGGTGGAAAGTCTACCCAATCATTAGCCATCCATTAAAAATTATTTATTGACATTTACTTATGTAGTCCCAGGATGGTAGTAGATTGGGCATAAGGATTCATACATGTAGGTAGAAAGGGCTCTTTGAGTTTTTTAGTTGTTAGGTGATGGCTTTTGGGAATGAACGCGACAATATTAACAGTAGTCATCGTTACTATTATTGATAGAATATTAGTGAACTTTGGTCGAATTCTGGCAGGCATTGATCACCTGGACAGAATCTCAGCGGCTGTTTACCAAATCTCAGGAAGAATTGGTCATTGACAGGATCGCCAGTCTGACAATGGATCGGCCTGTTGCTGAATGAGGTATACGCGTGACAAGGACGGAACATATACATAGCAGTATCTTTTTGTCAGGGTCTGTCTGTGTGTATGTGTGCGTGTGTGTGTGCGTGTGTCTGTTCGGCTTTTCGGCACGAGGTTCTACTGTAGCTGGCATTGCCGTATGAAAGTCACGGTTAATATAATGTAGATAACTTGGTTGATGATAATTGAAGAGTCCCTAACTGCGAAGATATACCAGCTAGTGTGATATATCTGTTCTACTTGTACAGCGCTGAGTATACGTGTTCTCTCCAGCTATGAATTATCAGTGTTTCTAACTGTTGACTAGCCCTATCGATCGGTATTCTCGTATTATACGTAATCTATCCTACACCATACATACATGTAATTCCACCCAGGCAGAATGATTCATACGATTTCGTAACATGAACTTAACTATATACCGGGTCCGATTACAGAGTTCAATCAGGGCTTCCAGGGCGACAGTTTATCAGCCATTTGTGCTATCACCTTTTCGCTGTTGATGCTAGTGGTGTTGCGGATGCACGTATCTTTGGACGTAGTGTGACCATAATGCTCCAGTACATACATCCACACAAGAAAACAGCATAGTCCACAAGGTCAATACGGCGCTTTCAACTCGATCGAGGCAGTATGTTTATGAAATAGAGCTCTCGAGAGTTCAGGATCGACGCAGCCATGAACTATTAATATTGCTAGCTACATTGGCTACTCGAGTGCACGTGTTAGCGGGCACAGGCGATGTAGGCGCCATATAACGTGCGACGGCGAACCAGGTCACAGCTAGAGTACGTAGGTACATGTGGCTACCGAGATTGAACCCCTCTCTGGCGTCACTCTGCAGATCTAACATCTCCGCCTTGTGGTGGAGAAACTTAATCTATGCATGCATACTCATGTGCCGCGATAAATATGATGAGCGTGCCTCCTCCATACGGTGTGTAGGTACCTGAGACAAACAATCCGATTCTTAGGACCAGCTTATCATTCTTATACTTACAGCAATATCTACACTTCCATAAAGCGTGGAGTTTTGCATTTTGCTGGAACTGTCAGTCCGGGGGTAGTTGTGTGAATGGTATTATCAAAAATTAAAGTTGTTGACAAGGTTCAATTATACTTCAAAGTACATGCGCCAGAGACTCAATAAAACAATTTCAAAGGCGAGATGAAATTCTCGAGACCTGCAAACAATGATGTGGTTCGGGGTATGTCCGCATCTCAATTCCGGCGGCACATCGGACAATCCTATAGTGTCTAATCTATTACGGTGATGGAATTACTACTCTCCTTTTGACGACGTGTCTGCCGAACCGATCTTCGCTGAACTACCGTTAATTGAAACCTCAAACGCCTTCGAATTGAAGAGGCGAAGCACAATCCGGGGTGGCGGATCTTACTTCAAGATATCCAGGGCAGTGGCCGATCCAATGGTGGATAAACCACTGTACGGTCCATGTCGCTTCCCAACAAAAAATGGATAAAGTGGTCTCGTGCCTCCAATGCATCCCGTACGTGCGCCCTATGGAAAAGCGGGGGATGTGATGTCTTGGTCTGGCCGCTCCCGCTACGGGTGTGTTGTGAATTGAACCCGCGATATCCTCCTTCCGTTGAATCTTGGGAGTGGCCAATATTGAGGCTTGTTCAAATGACATGATCTACCACATTGATCATTTTCCGTCCTTTCATCGCTCACACGAAATCACTCGGCACCAACAACATCACAAAATACATAGCACATCTATCCAAGTCAAGAGAGAGAGACCATCGAGATCCGAAACCCTTTCCGAATTACCGGCGATTCTCGGATCAGAGCGGGGAAAGCCAAAGACAAGTATATACGGATCCACCACAACCATCGACAAACGCAGTAATAATCGGTAGAAAAGAAGCGATTTGGGTATTATAGCTCCTTTCTTTGCGGAGTACTAGTAACCCCAGTTCTACTACTCCTGTTCCTGTGCAGGGAGCGTGATTCCTGGACACATCGTGGGCTCGGTGGATTGGATCTAATTATGAAGATTTTCATATGTTGTTTGTATGCACGGCATACCTTCCTCCTCCGATCTTAAGATTTATCTTATTAAACCGCCTATGATCCAATTCGGTAACAGGGCGGGGTGGAACGGCGCTCAGTACCCTAAAATTGATCAACCATGGAGCAATTATGGTATGTACCTTTTCATATCTTTTACCAACGGTCGTGACCATTGACATTGTTAAGCTGCCCAATTGAAATAAGGTTAACTGTTTTCCTAATCCACTAGTTTCCGCAGTGATTATGCGGAGTTTTCTCCGATTGAATGTCCTTTATAAGAAGGTTTAGGCTCAGAGATTTTCCCATCGGGAGAGAGGGTTCATTAACCAAGTCACAATACTTTTTACAAAAAAACAGCTCGCCGTCAAGCGATCATTGGTACCAGCCGGTATAGTGTCATTTTTTCTACTTACCAGCTGTCCTTATCACTCACTGAGGAAAAAATAAATATATCATTTATTTATTTTTCTTTGCAGATCAACTATTAGGCCGCACATATTACCTACATACATAGACCTACCTACCCGACTAAATAATGCGCGGTCTTCCAATGATCTAATGTGCCGCCACGTGCCCGCTGATAATATGTTTTGTCTGCAGGGCTGTAACCCAGGTGTGATTGTCGACATATCCCATGTACGCCCGTTACTCGGAAGATACACTACCCATTCGGCTAGCTAGAGGAACAAATCCTAGTTAATGCCCGATGTGAATCCGAGGGGTGCATACACAGAGAATTAGTGCCTGTAGAGTATGAAAAATTTATGCTCGATGACGCTTATCTTCCTTTCTTTTTATCAGATTCAATGGCCGGGATATGACCCGGGCGATTTAGAGTGAGTCTCAGTTGTCAGACGAGGCTGAAAACACGAGGCGAGCCCGGTCAAGTCCTGCTTGTCACTTGTTACGGGCAATTCATCCATGGGAACTTTGGGAGCCTCCTGGTCTATTGTGATGTCCTCGGGCATAGGGTTGTAGGTGGTTTGTTACTAGAAACAAAGGCAACATACCTATCCTAGATCTCCAGCTTTTCATTGCTTTAGGCTTTCGTCGGCGCCTAAGTTTACGACATGTAGTTAACCAGGTGTACCTCTGGTGTCAATCACCTAGCTTCCGGAAACGGGGTGACATAGCAGGGGCTCCTCCTAGAGTACTTAGGCTTGTTAGAGTTCTATAAGAGGCTAGTGCTCTGTTGACTGACAACTAAGGCCTAATCCTTTTATCGTCCAGAAAGCAATTTTGGGATTTATTTATTCAAGTGGTACTACTCAATCAGTAGTTAACTATGTCATACAGAGAACCAAAGGCAAAGGCATAGGATAGCCCGGAAGACCCCTCGATATGTGGGTTGCCCGCCTGCACTTGAGATCACATATGTTGGTTCTAGCTCGTTGGAAATGGGTCCAGATAGTCGTCCAAAGGAAACAGTGGAACGAGAGCCACCATCGTGGGGCCAATCCGTGTCAGCATTCCTCCTGCCCCTTTCCTTGCAGTTAAATACCACTCTGATAATTTTGGGTACAACAATATTTCACACTCTCACGTTGGCAGTGTGTACATGTACTCTGCTAACCCTGCATGCGTTCCATCCGGAAAGATCGTTTTCCCACCATAAATCACGCCAAACCACACATAAGCATCGCATACGGGGCTGCATATCAGCGTCATAACTGCGGGGTTGCGGTCGTGATACGTGATACGTGACAGAAACTGTCTAAGGCTTGCGCGGGAGAGGGTGAGGGTTGAAAAAAAAAAGACCCGACACGATCCGGCTGAGGGTTGACATTCAACAACAACAATAACAGTTTCAACTGTCTGCACCGACGTGAATACCAAAAGCCTAACAAGCCTAACACAACCAAACTGAGGAAAGCGACCCTCTCTTCTTCACCGAGAAGGTGCACTATCATAGTATCAAACCCAACAACCTGGTCACGGTTTCTTCTAGAAAGCCGGGATTGAGCCGAGGGTTCGCGTGTCAGTGTCAGGGTAAGCTGAAATACGCGTCAATCCAATTCCTCATTCATTCAGAAGCTTACTGGCTACATATTGTTAGCCTGGAGGACAATTTGTTTGGCGAATTAAAGGACGCCAGGGGCAGCTGGAGAGGACCCGCCAAAAGAAACAACGATTGATTGCAACCAATTGCGTCTTTCCACTGTCCAAGATACTGGGACACCCTTCGAAGAACCTCTTATTTTTCTAGCGCCAAACTTTTACTCATCACAATTTCAGAGCAGACAAGGAAGCAGGTTCGCAATTGACCACTGGTAGAATTTATTCCTTCTTTTTTCTTCTTTTTCTTTCTTGCCCCTCTCCTCCCTCCCCTCCCCTTCCCCCCACATGCATTGCATGCCCCTCGTCGAGTCACCGTCATCGAGAACATTGGTATCTAGGCCCATCGCCGGTGTTGAGGTACCCTTCTCCCTCCTTCCGAATTCATTCCATGGGGGGGGAATGTGTATATTATACATATGGCCAGCTCCCTTTCCCTCGATTTCCTACCTCAGTTCCCCCAACGCCCCCAGCGTACCATCTTCTCTGGAAGACATATATTTCTCTTAACTGAAGAATACCCTTCGAGAAAGCTCGCTCACTTACCATGTCGTCTCCAGGTACTGAAAAGGAAAGCGCAGCTTCTCCACCAGTAATCCGAGTCGAGACCGAAAAGGAAGGCGTTCGTGGCCAGGGAGCTAGAATCATGGCAACAATTCAAGATGATGATGAGCGTCTACTTACCCGTATTGGGTATAGACAGGTATGAGGAAACTTCGCCTGCTTATCAGTGTGGGCCTAGAGATTATAGAACGAAATACTTATATATCTTCTAGGAATTGCGAAGAGAGTTTACAAAATGGTCAACAGTCTCATACGCAATCTCTATCTTGGGTGTATTAGGTTCAGTTCCCGCAACCTTTTCAGTCCCAATTACATCTGGGGGACCAGCAACGGCAGTATGGTGTTGGTTCTTTGGATCGTTGATGGCAATGTGTATAGCGAGTTCAGGTATCTACTTTTAACACCCAAAACTTTTCTAATAAGACACAAAGGCTTACTTTGCGGTGTAGTCTCGGAGTTAGTATCGGCTTATCCAACAGCCGGGGGAATGTATTTCGTCACTAAACACGTGGTTCCGGAAAAACATGTGCCCATCTGGTCATGGATTGTGGGCTGGTGTAATTTCATTGGACAGACAGCCGGGGCGTCGAGTGTGGCGTATACCGTCTCTCAAATGATGCTGGCTTGTGCTAGTATGAACTCCAGGTTTGACGGAGATTCATACGCTTTCTCTCCGTAAGTAGTCCCATTATTATGTCATATTAAAGCCGGTGGATATTGATGTATAGCCTTATATAGTACTGCTTTGCAGACAGTCTTACTTTCAATCGCACTACTTTGTGTGATGGGGGTTATATGCTCCTTGACCACGAAGTGGCTTCATAAGATTATTATATGGTTTGCGCCGATAAACAGTAAGTTGATTTCTTGGTGGAATTTATGGAATATGTTCTTACCTCGACTTAAAGTTCTTGCATCGTTCTCAATATGCATTGCTTTACTTGTCTTGACCCCGAACAAGCACAGCGCAGAGTATGTGTTTACACATTTCACCGACGGCTCTGGATGGGGTAGCAAGGCATTTTCCTTTTTACTTGGGTAAGTTGAACCTCCGAGAGCCAGATTCATTGAGCCAACTAACACAACACAGGTTTCTTTCCGTGGCATGGACTATGACCGACTACGATGGAACAACTCACATGTCTGAAGAGACCCATGACGCTGCCGTTCGCGGTCCAATCGCGATCAACAGCGCTGTCGTTGTTTCTGGTGCAATAGGATGGATGCTAACCGTAACATTTTGTTTCTGTCTTGGTGACCTGGATGCAACCATTGCATCACCCACTGGTATGCCGGCTGCCCAGATCTTCTTGAATGCAGGTGGGAGAGTGGGTGGAACGGTCATGTGGTTTTTTGTGATACTTATACAGTTCTTTACTGGCGTGTCTGCATTGTTGGCGGATACGAGAATGGCGTACGCATTTGCTAGAGATGGAGCTTTCCCATTTTCCAGGTACTTAGCTACTCCTTTATACTGGAATTGGTGGTGATTAACATGTGTTCTGCAATTTAGTTTCTGGAGCAAGGTAAACCCATACACGCACACGCCTATCAACTCTGTCTGGCTTGTTGTATTCTGCTGCATCTGCCTCAACCTCATCGGAATCGGCTCCCAACAAACCATAATCGCAATCTTCAGCATTACCGCCCCAGCCCTCGACCTATCCTACATCGCCGTAATCTTTGCTCGAATGCTATACTCCAATGAGATCAAGTTCATCGAGGGCCCATTTACGCTCGGGAAGTGGGGACGACCGTTGAATTGCATTGCGATTTCCTGGGTGCTATTCATCAGCGTGGTCCTGTTCTTCCCGCCAATCAGACCAATCACAATGGTAAATATGAATTATGCGATTTGTGTAGCGGCGTTTGTGGCCATTTTTGCGCTGAGTTGGTGGTGGGCCGGTGCGAGACAGTGAGTTCCCCCTTTCCGCCTAGTTGATCTCTAGCATAGTGAATGTTTTACTAATTCTTGTTTCAGCACATACACTGGTCCACGAACAAAGGATATTATCCACATTGTTCCCGGCTCCGCTGACTCTGACGACGGGAATCTCGACGATGATATAGAAGATTTTCTAGCCTAAAAAGCAAATTTCCTTTTTTTTTCTCTTTTTTTTTTTTTTGGAGGGATCTTATGGGGGGATATATATTAAACTATACAACGGGGTTAAAGGCTTAGAATTTTGGATTTGATTTGGTTGGGCCGGTGCTGGCACCCGCCTTGGGACTTTCGCTTTATTTCATTTTGTATTTACGTCTAATAACCCGGATGGTTTGACCAATTGATCATGGGTCGAGCGGACATCTTAATGCATGGTCGGAAAATAACTATCGCGCGCGGGGTCTAGACAATACTACATACCACAGGCGAAATTGACTTAAGGGCATGAATAAGAATTTTCTACAAATAATAGGCACTCTGTTCTTCCTTATCTGTAGTGAAGACCACACCCAGAACGACGGAAGTCGGACTAAGTACCCCCCTTTCTACTGACGTTAGCGCAAATCATAAGATATCACACGGTCACGAGGGCTGTAAATGCCAAGAAGAGTGGGTAGGGATATTTCCATATATTATGGAGAACCCGAGGTGATAAGTCAAGTTATGGGAATATATAATGGCTACATGTACTTTAGGTATATATACATGGATTGCATGTAGAGTGGAATGGAAGGGGATGAATTATGTTAACGAGAAGGGATCGATCCGGGCAATGATCTTACAATAGTTGAGTGCGACATTGGTATATGGTGCTGGTCTATGTACTGTCATCGGTAAATATCAAGTACAGCCAGTCAATCTTCTCTAAGGTAAAAATCAAGTCTCGAGCTCTTGCCGCTTCAGCAAATTCTTATAACACGCCAAGCATTGTAGAATACCGAGTGACTTCTCATGATTCACCACCACCCATCTAACCACGGTTGTTGCGCAGTCGGGCTTAAGTGGTAAAACCGGAAAATCCTTCTCTATATAACTATATAAATCACGTCGTCGAAGCAATAGCTCGTGAACGATCATGCAGATCAAAGCACGTTTACTAAGCCAGCAAGGTTGACCGACCACCGGTGAGTCAAGGAACCCTGGAATGGTGAGCATATCGATTGGATATATATATGTAGCTGTCAATCAATAGCCTACATGTGCTATACCTATATTCCCCAACCGCCCCATCCTATTCGCCACACTATGGCTGACTGCATAATAATCACACCCACTCCATGCAGGCTATAAATTGTAACTACATAATCACTCACCTTGGCAACGAACGTACGGGTATTGAGGGTAAGTGATAAGAATCTGATAAGTGAATGTTGTGGTGAATACGTGTGTTTTGTCTTATCAGATTCTGATCACTTTTCGCTACACCCTAGTACACTCGTCTCGTTTCATCCAGCATTAATACTGCCCCTGTGCGTCAAAGGTGGGGGGGGATTGGAGAAATCGGAGTTTCGCACCCAGCCTCCTGATAACCCCCTGGCGTTTTTTATAACCTACCCGCCGTGACGTGCACTTCATACGCGTTCGGTGAGGCAAAGCTTTTAGGCCGTCGTTATCGATTGGGAATAGGCGATAGCTTATACTAGGATCAAACGTCTGGAAATAGAGTGGTGATATTCATTTGCTCGGTTGCGAAGGAGGTGCTTGCATGGCTCGAGTAAAGTAAATAATTTTAGTATGCTCTAGTTGGGGGAATGATGGTCGTCTTCTAGGCTCGTTTTGGTTTTAATATGCTCTGGTTGGGGAAAGCTTAGTCCTATTCTTTACGGGGCTCATGAGTGGGCTGTAATAGCGATCGAATGAGTGAAATGATAATACTGGGATTTGGAGACTGGTCGGCGAGGCGCACTATAGTAGTCGTAGGTTGGGTTATAGGACGGATTAGAATATATATAAGGGCTTGGAGGGGCCCGGCGTGGATGAGTTTTTAAGAACCTTTTGATCGGTACCGAGTATTTTGTTAACTTTTGATTATTGAAATTTTCATTGGATATTGTTATTATCTCCAGTCTTCCTACTACTTCTGCTCTTACTACCTAGACTTACTACCACTTGTGATAGTCCTATCATCACCTCCACTCTTACTACTACCACCAGATAAACCAACTACCTTCAACAATGGACCCCTCAAAGACACAAACCCCCTTACCTTCAACACTGGACCCTTCAAAGACACAAACCCCCCTACCTTCAACACTAGACCCCTCAAAGACACAAACCCCCTTACCATTAACAATGGACCCCCCATCCTACGACTCCGAATTCCCAATCCCCGTGTCCTCCGATACCCCAGCTTCCTACACTCCAGCTCCCTACTCCCCCGAGACCATCAACCCCTCGGCCAACACCTACGATCATAACTACGACGCCCCAATCCCCGTCGAAACCCTGTCCCAATCCGCGTCCGAATTCGTCCCAGAGCAGCGCCCCCGCATCGACTCCCACGGGAGCAGCCAGTATCTCCATGCTGTCCCGCTACATACCCTTACCCGTGCGCCCGCGCCGGTGGATTGTCCAATTTGTAATAAACGCGGGATGACGAAATGTGCTAAGAAGAGTGGGAACTTTACGCAGTAAGTTGCCTTTGACGCTTTGGGTTGTAGTTATATTTGCCGGCGCGGCTGCTTGAATTATGTATACTGACATGATGTGGTAGTATGTGTGCGGCGGTGACGTGCGCGGTCAGTTGCTTGGGGTGCATTCCGTATTTGATCTCGAGTCTGAAGGACGTGAAGCATAGCTGTACATCGTGTGGGGTGCTGCTGGCGGTGTGGCATCGCAGCGGTGGGGGGACGGATGTGCTTGCGCATGCGCTGAAGTAGGTGCTGCATGCTAAGGGCATGCATGGGTGTTTTGGTTCACAGTGAGGATATTGTTTGGGACTTTCACTTATTGGTATTTTCCTTTGTTTAGCGGTGTTTGATAGATTTTTTTCTTGTGGATTTTTCTTGTAGATTTTTCTCTTTTTTTTTCCTTGCGACTTTGGGTATTTATTGCTGGTGGCGCACTTTGGGATAGCGTTTGTTTGGGCATCGTGAGAGGAAATGATCGATGCGCGTGTTTTGGGAGGGGCAACGTTACCATGAGTTTTGCCAACGATGAACTGGGCAAAGGATCGCGAAAAGGAGCTTCAGATTGTCTTTAGAGCTTGGACTGAGGTCTTGAAGCCTGTACAATATATGTTAATGGGGGTTGATCTGTCACGCTGTCACGTTTTCGATTCTACCAATATACAACAAGTATTAATAATTATATTACACTTTTAGAGCTGTCTCCTATCTCGAAAGTAAATATAATGATACTAATAACCTTCCCCTACTAAATTCTAACTAACGTTACTTCTTTCCAGACAGGAGCACTACATAGCTGGATTGATAGATATCACAACCACCATCGTACTGTCAATCGACCCACGGCCCGATCAAGACTTGTTTAGACCCAGACAACTGCCTACACGTACGATGGTATGAGTGTGGAAAGTACATGAATGTAGTTGCATGATTCCCATATATCGGCTAATATATTATCCTAGCTATGGACAGGGGCGAGTACTTAATATCGAAGGCTTGTTCGCAATTAAACGTAGATTAAGTACCTCAATTAGCTATCCGTCACCGGGCGTACGACTAGTATAAAATACCAAATAGAGCTCTAGAGCGCTAATTAGCTCATCAGTCCAAGTGCCGAAAGCCGCCAGACCCGTCCTTACCGGGGAGATCGAGAGACTATAAAGCTAGAAGGAGGTCTCGAGTTCGAGTCCTGGCTAAAGCAACCTCAAATCAATTTCCCCTTCTCTTTGTAGTTTGGCTGTTGGTACAGTCGCTCACCTACTGACAACGGATCCTGTCTGATGGTTCTGTTTGCAGTAATTTGCTCTTGGCGTCCAAAACCTAACTCTTTTATTGGCCTCAAATCCCTGACCGCCATCAGACAGGATCCGCCTCCCGTGAGTGACTGTAATTGCTTACAATGCATGGAGAATTATCCTAATATAGTTCCTTCTCCACGTCCATAAACCTTAATACGTGACACAACTCACGCGCCAAAAGATCGCCGTGCGGAAAGATCTGGGCAACGTTCCACATGCATCCAAACCCGACAGCGGCAATCTCCTTCGCGGGAGTTCCCGTGAGTACTGGTGGTGCGGCGGAACATGCCGGTATAGACAACAATTGACGAGAGCCGGTGAGGTGCGGAGGTTGTGAGGTGTGGTGTGGATGTGTGGACATTGGATGGAGGGGATGGAAGGAATAGAATGACTTTTGTAGTCTATAGATATAGTGAACGGGTCTGATATTAACATCTCGTGGTCGATATCTCTGAAGCTGCCAAAGTTTAAAATCAAGAGTCGAGTCTTCAAATGTGAATTGTAAATTATATCGTGACCGTTGGGCCACGGCCAGCGCCCAGGCGCGGGGGCTTGCGTACATGTCGTAATAGAAGAGGCCACATGTCTGACCGTACTGCACATTAATTGTCATCGTGGTGGGTGGCTTAGTGGTACAACATGCTACATAAATGTAGTCGGAGATGCGAGAGTTTCTCTCTTCTCATCATCATCATCATCATCACCGTCACCGTCACCGTCATCAATACAATTGAGCTTAAGTCTTATTAGCTTATCACACTTCATCAGATATTCGTATTACTACTTGTCACAGGGACTCTAGGCTGGAAATATTTGATCTTCATCATTGAATACCCTACAGGGAAAAGCGGGTACATATCGAAGATAACTGCCAACATACAGCGGTAAGTGGATCAATTCCTTGCTTCCTCGATAATTGTTAGTAGAGGCACTGTGCTGATGATGAGTGCACCGTAGTACATGTAGCTATACAGATAAGATACAACGCTCAACCACCTCCACTAGCCGCCTACCTTTTACCTTAATCTATCCATCCACGACACCACGACACCACGACACCACGACTCAATTCTATCATTCTTGCCTAAACATGTTGCAGGGAGAACAGGGCGGGGTGTTGAGTGGCCATCTGGCCCCTCCCCGAGTACTCCCAGTCTAGAAAACCGGATGTCCACTCAAGACCGCCAGTCTCCCCGTGAACTACACAAAACCCGTCTATCTACTCCAATGGCTGCAGCCCTGCGGGTGTAACGTTCCACAAACCCGACGGCAATCTCCACGCGGAAGTTCCCGGCGGGATGCGGTGGGAGATGCCGTGCTGGTACGAGTGATGGTATGTGAAGTTGTGGTCACGGTGGGTATTAATATCCTAACGTATTTACACGTTTTCAGCAGCTGGCTTTCGAATTTCGGGGAGAATGCTACTTTAGACTTTGGTAGTGCCCTGGAAGGTCAAGATGCATACTGACCAGCCCAGATCAGAACTATGTACCTGGTACAGAGGCTCAACCTCAAAATTTGGGGGCAGTTTTCTATGCACATGTGTGAAGCCGGGCCAGCGGCGCCGGAAACAGCGATGTTCTGATCAAGAGCATCGTGAGTGAGCTGGCACCTGGAAACGTCCTAGATCCGGCAAAAACAACACCTCACCTTTCTTTTTTTCCCCCCTTTACCTATTTACTTTATCGATTAGTTTTCCAAGAGGTTGTACCTACAAGTACCTACTCTACTCCAAGAGAAGCACTAAACGACATTCCCCCAACAAAAGTGAAACCTACCTAATCCCATCCCCATCTCGTTTTCCAGCGCGAAAAAACAGATCCCCGGATCGCTGCACACGCACCACCCATTCGTCTAATGATTCCTCTTCGCGACTCCACGAGATCCACCACCACCACTGCGTGCGGCAAGTTCCGCGTCTCCAATTCCCAAGGGTATGGTTTAATGCGTAGATGTGAACGGAGATTTCCAGGGTTGGGGATCCGGTAGGCTATTTATTTAGTTTTGACTTCCCTCTTTTTCTTTCTTTCCCTCTTCTCTTCTCGACTGTATCCTCTCTTGCTCACTTTACGATGTTTAAGTCGAGTGTCTCGCCCACTTTGAGCTACCGACCGACAAATACTTGCTGCTTGCACACCTTTTTACTGGCACACAACCAACCAGCATGATAGGAAAGACGTGGGGACTCTTTTGGGAAGGAAGTAAAGGCTAGGTTTTGGAGGTGGAGGAAAGAGGTTTTTTTTGGGAACGGGGGGCGTACTGACGTGGTTACGGTTACCATGGCACGGAGCTGAGGTCACGGAGCTGAGTAGAGAGAGGCTCTATTGCAACCCTACCTCCGTTACTGTTACTGCCCGTCAGAACCGATCAAATCAATCCATCAGTCAGCGACTCAGCCCAAGCAAGCCAGCCCAGGTTATTTCCGTACTAACCGGTTTCCACCACAACCACCCATTACAACCCGCCGCCGTATAACCAAGCACGGGGCGGGATGACATTACGCCGATTACGATTCATTTCCTCCGTGATGTGCTATCCACGATCGGAGAGCGTGGGAGCAATAGAATAAGGAGCATGTCCCGAGAACAAAAATAACTTTTTGTATGAGACAGCAGAATTTCTCCGGAGAACACCTGTGCTTGTATGTCAAACGATACTGGAGGCCAGGAAATACATAGTTCATGCAAAATTGTATATCTGCACCTGGGCCTGGATCCTGGCTGCCAGGGACGAGGCCCCCAATCAGGATGAATTCGACACCCCCTCTTGAACGAACGAAACATTCGCGAGGTAGGGCGTCGCCCGATATGTCGAATCAGGCTTAATAGGGCGGCGAGCCGAGGAAATGAGGAAATGAGGAGGGAGGGAAGATGATGGGGGAATATGTGGACGGGGCAGGGGACGGGAGTAGAGGGTGAAAAACATGGGAGAGAAGCATTAAGCAGAAAGATGGAGTAGAAGGAGGATAGGGATAGAGATAATAACTAGGAGGGGGGGGACAGAGGCAAAAATCCATAGACCGTTCTTCTCCCCTAGCTTGCATCTTACCTGTCTATTTATCTATCTGTCTATCTGTCTGCCAGTCTGTCTGCATATCTGTAAGTCTGGGGGGCCAGTCTGTCTGCCAGTCTGTCTTTCCGTCTGTGTTACTTCCTTATAAGTATTTTGCTAGCATTGCGACAGTAGTCCTTTCTTTCCCCCAGCAGTCGTCTTTCTCTGCATTGCACTGCATAATAAAACAGCAAGACTAAACAATACTTTCCTAACAATCGTTCACTTTCACTCTGTCTATCTTGTCTGTTTAATTGACCTTCTCGGTTCTTACTCTCTCCCCTGAAAACTATGGAGAAGGAGCTCGAGATCACTACCACCGGTTCCCCTCCAGACCCAGCCGGGGACCATATCCCCGCGTTGCACCAGGACCAGAAAAATGCAGAGAAACCCGACATCCTGGACGACGACATCACAAACATTGATGTCAGCGAGGATAAAGACTCGCGTGCCTCAACTGAAGATGAGGAGCAGCACATCTCGTTCCGTCCTGTCGAGCCTGTGGCCGTCTCGGTCCGTGGCCTTACAATCACGGTGTCTGAACATTCGACACTTGGAAAGAAGAAAAAGAAACCGAATAATAGCGATGGTGGTGAAGCACCACCAGAAGAGAAGGAAAAAAAGATCCTTGATGCCGTGTCTGCAGATTTCCCTGCTGGCGAGCTCACGGCTATCATTGGTGGCAGTGGTAGTGGAAAGGTTTGTTCTTTCCCTCTAAATCTGAGTAGTTATTGTTCACTGTTCGTTCGTGATACTGACTTTGTCGAAAGACCTCAATGCTCAACATCATGTCCTCCCGCATGACAGGCACAAATCTCCGCACCACCGGCACCACGACCTTTGCCGGAGGCCGAGCACTCTCGGACGTTAGCTACGCCTACGTGATGCAGCAGGATGTTCTGCTGCCCACACTGACGGTGCGTGAAACACTGCAATACTCTGCGGAGCTCCGTCTCCCTGCATCAACCACTCCTGCGGAACGCACACGTGTAGTCGAGGAAGTGATTCTGCAGTTGGGGCTCAAGGAGTGTGCCGACACGCGTATCGGGGACAACGAGCACAAGGGGTGCTCCGGGGGTGAGAAGCGGCGGACATCTATTGGTGTTCAGCTCCTGGCGAACCCAAGTGTATTATTCCTCGACGAGCCCACAACGGGGCTTGATGCAACTAGTGCGTTTCAGGTTGTGCGGACGCTTAAGAGGCTGGCGGCTAGGGGCCGTACAGTGGTGGCGACGATCCATCAACCGCGGTCAGAGATTTGGGGGCTGTTTGATCGCATTGTGCTGCTGAGCGGCGGGCGGCCGCTGTATGCGGGAAGGGTGGAGGGCGTGTTGGAACATTTTAGGGGGTTGGGGTGGCCGCTGAGGGAGCATGAGAATCCGGCGGACTTTTTGGTGGATTTGGCGGCGGTGGATTATCGTGGTGCGAGGGCCGAGGATGAGTCGAGGGCGAGGATTACGGGGTTGGTGGAAAGGTGGCGGGAGGCGGAGGGGAAGGTGCTGGCGGAGGAGAATGGTGGTGGTGGAGGGGTGGGGAAGGGTGTTTGTGATGCTCCGCAGCAGGGTGGTGGGAAGAAGTTACAGTCTGGGCCTGGGCTTGGAAGGGAGATTGCGGTGCTGACGAGAAGAGGGCTCAAGATCACGTTTAGAGACCCTATGGGCATTGCTGGTGCGCTCTTTGAGGCCATCCTAATGGGTGTGATTGCTGGCTGGATCTTCTTTGACGTCAATAAATCTCTCTCTGGGATCAGGACTCGGGAGGCAGCGCTTTATATTGCGGCCTCGCTCCAGGGCTACCTCATCCTCCTCTTTGAGACGTACCGTATCTGCGAGACCGATATCAAGCTGTTTGACCGCGAGCGTGGCGAGGGCGTTGTTAGCGTTGTTGGTTTCCTGGTTAGTAGACGTATTGCGAGGCTTTGCGAGGATATTACGGTGCCGTTCCTGTTCTCAACCATTTTCTACTTTATGGTTGGGTTCGATTCGGCCCCAGTGCAGTATTTTGTGTTTTTCGCCATCGTGCTGGTAGGCCAGTTTTTAGCCGTGAGTTTTGCGACACTGTGTGTGGGAGTGAATAGAAATTTTGCGGAGGCAGTACTGGTGGGGAATCTGTCGTATACCCTGCAGAGTGTGGCGTGCGGATATTTCATCCAGGCGAGCACCATGCCGGTCTATGTGAGGTGGTGTAAATATATCTCGTACAATGTAAGTTTCCCCCACTTATTTCCTGTGATGTCGGAGGAGTGCTGATTGATGGATGATATATAGTGGTATGCTTTTGGAGCTCTCGTCTCGAACGAGTTCTCTGATAAGTTCTATGCTTGCCCAGCTACGAATGCATCCCCAACGAACCCTCAGTGCCTTGAGTATACGGGCAAATTCATCCTAGATTCGCTTTCCTTCCCCGAGCACTGGCGGACTGTCCCGATAGTCATTAACGTCTCATGGGCTGTGTTCTTTTATATTGTTGCAGGCCTGCTGCTTAAGTTCAAGCCCGTTGATATCAATGTCTCCTCCGCACGCCCCAAGTCTGACGAGAAAGACCGCAGCGCCGGGAAGGAAAACATTACCCGCACCGGTAGAGAGCAGGTCAAAGAAATCGACGTTGTGCTCGATAATTGTAGTCTCACCATTGAGAAACCTGGCATGTCACTCGGGCTGTTTGGCAAGACCAAGGGCACCGTAGAGCTCGAGATTTTGAAGGGCGTGAGCTCTCGCTTTGAGGCCGGGAAGCTCAATGTCATCATGGGCCCCTCTGGCAGCGGCAAGAGCACGCTCCTCAACCTGATGTCGAGGCGGCTCCACAGCTCCATCTCCACGCGCTATCGCTCGGCGGGGAAGATGCTGTTTAATGGCGCGCTTCCGTCAGACACCGTGATTCGTTCGCTGTGCTCCTACGTAACGCAGGATGATGATGCGCTTCTGCCGTCGCTGACGGTGCGGGAGACGCTGCAATTTGCGGCGGCACTGAGGCTACCTGGGTGGATGTCGAAGGAGGAGAAGCACCGGCGGGCGGAGGAGGTCATTTTGAAGATGGGCTTGAAAGACTGCGCAGACAACCTCATTGGGAGTGAGTTTGCGAAGGGCATCTCGGGCGGTGAGAAGCGGCGTGTGACGATCGCTGTCCAGATCCTGACCGAGCCCCGGATATTGCTGCTCGATGAGCCGACGTCTGGGCTCGATGCCTTCACGGCTGCGTCTATCCTCGGTGTGCTTCGTGGGCTGGCAGAGGAGGGTAGGACCGTCATCTCAACGATTCATCAGAGTCGTTCAGACCTCTTTCAAGGCTTTGGGAACATCCTGCTGCTGGCCAGGGGCGGGCATGTCGTGTATTCGGGCAAGGGTGACCAGATGCTGCCATACTTTGCCTCATTGGGCCATACATGCCCGACCACCACCAACCCCGCTGACTTCGCGCTCGACCTCGTAACAGTGGACCTACAGCACGCGGGCCGCGAGGCGGCGTCGAGAGTCAAGGTGCAGAGGTTAATTGAGAGGTTCTCGCACTCCGAGGCGCTGGCATTGGAGGAAGGGGCGGCGCCGAAGGAGATTAGTCTGCCCGCGGAGCTGGGGCAGATGAAGAGGGCGAAGGCGCCATTCCGCACGGCGTATCCGATCCTGGTCCGGAGAGGTCTTATTAATCTGAGGAGGCAGCCGCAGCAGATTGTTGCGAGACTGATGCAGGTGGTGGGGTTGGGAATTATTTTGGCGCTGTTTTACTCGCCACTGAAGCATGATTATTATTCAGTGCAGAATCGGGTTGGTTTTGTGCAGCAGATCTTGTCATGTGAGTTTTTTTCTTCTTGTTCTGCCAGTCTGGGAAGTAAGGGGTGAGTGATAGTCCATGATGCTAACAAACCTGGGCAGTGATCTTTGTCGGCATGCTCCAAAACGTGTCAGTCTATCCCTTCGAGCGCGACGTCTTCTACAAAGAACACGACGACCGCGCCTATGGTACTACCGCTTTCTTCATCGCCTACCTCACCCTTGAGCTCCCCTTCGAGCTCGCCACCTCCCTCATCTTCTCCGTTCTCGCCGTCCTCGCCGTCGGCCTCCCACGCACCGCCAAGCTCTTCTTCATCGTCACCTTCAACACCTTCTGCATCACCTCGTGCGGCGAGAGCGTCGGCATCTTCTTCAACACGCTCTTCGCGCACACAGGCTTTTCCGTCAACGTCACGAGCACCATCCTCTCTATCGGCGTGTTCATGGCTGGCATCATGAGCATCGACATGCCCGGCTTCCTCGAGGCGTTCAACTATCTCAGTCCCAATAAGTATGCGACGCAGAATCTGGTGCCGTATTCGATGATGGGGGTGAAGTTTACGTGTACGGATGCGCAGAGGCTGCCCGGGGGTAGGTGTCCGTTGGAGACGGGAGAGGAGGCGTTGGCGCTGTTTGGCATGGGGACGAAGGACGTGTGGTGGAGTCTTGTGGGGTTGGCGATCGCGACAGTGGCGTATAGAGCGATAGCGTATATGGTGTTGAGGGTGAGGAGAATGCATTTGGGGGTGAGGATGAAGGAGTAGTTGGTGGTGGGGGAAGGCGAAGGGCGGGTTGTATATACTTGACGTAGTTTATGTCATGTGGTATGGCTGTTTTTGCTGTGGTTTTTCTTATGTTCGTTTTCTTATGTTCGTTTATTTGCTTTCTTGACGTTTGCTTTTATTTATTCATTATGTTATTAATGTTGTGATTGAAGGTCAATGATAGATATATTGATGGTACTTTGCGGAGATCCTTGTGGTGGGGCGTAGATACATATCTAGCGCTCCTAGAGAGAAACTTGGAAAACATGAAGAATAAGAATGTAGATGGAACCCTAGTTAGCCAGAATGAATTCTCTTTATTTAAATCGTGGGCTTGGTACAAGATGCATCCCTAAAATCATGGTGATGGGCAGTGCAGAGGACGAGCATATGCGCATTGGCATCAAAGGGTTAGGGCTCTATTACACCACGAAGCTAGCTCAAGTATCACTTCCAGAGCACTATCTACTATGGGCGGGTGTTGTCTCGTACCCAGCCCGTTACTTGCAGCAAGCTGCCCCAAGCAGACGGGTTGGGGACGAGCCTTATGTAGCCCCTCTTGAAATAGGGCGCTCGGCACGTTTCATAGTTCTGGAAGATTCTCATAGTATTTGTCATCGGCGTATGACTCACTTTCCTATTAGTCATTCTATTACTCACATGTCTATGACTCATTGTATTTCTTTTGTACTACATTTCTTTAGTATAAATACGGGGCATCCCCCCTTAGCTAGCACAATTAACACGATCAATTACTTTACTTCTCCTACATACTTTCTCTAGCCCCTGCGTGCCGGGCAGTAAAAAGGGCACAGCATCTTCGGCGGGAGTATCAAGTAAAGGTGAGGTACGTGTTTATAGTAGGTTTTACTAGTACTGTAGGCCAAACTAGTGGATGTTACGTCTACGTGTGCGTTTAATATCTCCCCCCAGCAAACAGTCCTCGAAGTTCTGTTAGCATTGTGGTATATGCCCCCGCTTAGTAATTCCACTTTCCAACAGGACACTTTTTTTTCTTTTTCTTTCTTTTACCTCAGTTCTAAGTTCTACTGTTGAAATGAGAAGTTCTCTGACGCCCCCTATCCACGGACGACAGACACGGCTTAGTCTCGTACCCACCCCCCCTACTTAATATGGCTTTGGAAGGCTTGTACTTGGTACTCTGGGAGGGGACGGGGTACGGGCACGGGGACGGGCACGTTAAATATTTGGCAATAGAAGACCAGCCCTCACGCCAAGATATAGTCCTCGCCCACGTCCCACGTCCTCCGTCTCCTCCCGGAGCACCAGGTTTAAACCATACCCTATTATGCGACATTCCACCACCTGAACGGTTTGTACCCATGGTGCGCCCGCGATGTTACATCATAACTCATCACTCGACACCATACCCTCAAGGCCTTCCGCCAAGAACAATAGACCACCAGGAGGTACCAACATCGACCGCCGCCGCCGTCCCCAGCGATCATTCGTTACTTACACGTTCTTTCTTGTGTCTTTTGTTTACTGCTCTTTATTTTTGCATACTTATGTTTAGTTGGAAAGGTGATTTCTTATTTTAGGTCAGGGTTAGGGTTGTGATTGGAAGCAGGTAATGTATTTAACCGGTGAGCTGGGGAATTGAATCTAAGGCTAGTGTGTAATATGGCGTATGTCGCTCTGTGCATGTAGTTTTTAGGCAGAGATTGAGTAGGTTTGGTGGTTTGGGCGGATTATTATTGCTGTTTCTGTTTGGAACTAAAGGCCTTATGGTGTTTGTAAGAGTCACGTCAAGAAAGAAACCTACTTTATTTGATTAAATTATCAACCGTGTAATAGTAGATAAATGAGGATACTGGAGACCTAGAAAGATGTTCTCAAGTGGTGGTTTTGGCTATAGTGGTGTTTCGTTATAGGTCTGATATTTAGGAACAGCTACGCATATCATCCTCGTTCACTCACAACAAAGCTCACTCCAAGTCAAGTATCAAAACCCATCAATTCAATCCTTAAAATAACCAACCCAATGTACAAAACAAACCAAAAACATGCACATAAAATCACACAAAAACAGAGAAAGAAAAACACCAGCACCCTCACAAAACCCTAGTCGCTATATATATACAAACCCACCCACCCCCCACTCCCCCACTCCCGCATTCTAAAACACCCACTCATACTCCCTCTCCACCGCCACCTCCACACTGCCATCAATCTCCTGCACGTTCCTGCCCACCTCCACCACATACGCCCCCTCCAGCGCCCTCCAGCACTTCCTCTCCTCACAGAATAAGCCCGGCGCGTAATGGTCAAGCTCGATCCTCGCCACGCCGCTCTCGCCCGCCTCAAGCTCAATCTTCGCGAAGCCCTTCAGCTCGCGCTTCGGACGGTCGACAGCCGACTTCTTCGGTGCGAGGTAGACCTGCACTGTCTCGATACCCTTGATGGCGCCCGTGTTCTTTACCGGCACCTGCACCGTGATCTTCTTCCCGATTTCGAACGCCGCCTGATCGACAGTTGGCGCGCCGAGCTCGAACGACGTGTACGAGAGGCCGAATCCGAAGGGGAAGAGGACGGGGATGTCGCGCGAGTTGTAGTGGCGGTATCCGACATAGATGCCCTCCGTGTAGGCGATCTGGTTCTTTTCACCGCCGTCACCAAAGTTTCCGAACGACGGGTTGTCCTCGAGGCGCTTGGGAAATGTGATTGGGAGGCGGCCGCTGGGGTTGACCTTGCCGAGGAGGACGTCTACGAGGGCGTTGCCAGCCTCCTGACCCTGGTACCAGGCCTGCAGGACGGCGGGGACGCGGTCGAGCCAGGGCATGGTGACCGGGCAACCGGATTGGTTGACGACGATGGTGTTGGGGTTTGCCTTGACGACGGCCTCGATGAGCTCGTTCTGCTTGCCGGGGAGCGCCATGGTGTGGCGGTCGTAGCCCTCCGACTCCCACTCGTTGTTCATGCCGACAACGACCACCGCGACATCAGACTTCTTTGCGAGCGCGGCTGCGCGGTCAATGTATTCCTGCACGTCCCGCACGGCGTCGATACCGAGCCTGATGCCGATGGCGGAGGCAAAGTCGAGGTTGTCGTTGCCCATATCAGGGAGCTTCTGCTCGGGTGACTTGGAGGTGGTCTCGGCGACGAGCTTGTACCATTTGCCAGCCTCAAGATGGATCTTCTGCGTGACCTCCTCTGAGCCGCTGGTGAAGAAGAGCTCGCCCAGCTCGATCCAGTGCGTGTGGTCGATCAGGAGCTTGTCGTCGACATAGATCTTTGTGGGGCCGATGGAGCCCACACCAACAACATGCTCGCCAGTGGCCTCGGGCCTGATGTATGTTGTGATCCTGACCGAGTAGTCCTGATCGCCGAGAACCGGCGGCTTTCCGTCCATAAGGAAGATGTTGGAGGTGGTCATCACGTTTGACGCAACACACTCGCCTGAGCATTCACGCCCGCCAAAGAAGTCGACCTTGAGACCCGGAGCGCCTTCAGTGGCGGAGGGTGCGGTACGGGCGCGTCCCTCCTCGACGGGGAAGACGCGGACCCATTTCTCAGTCTGGCAACCAATCTCATAGGCTACCTTGATATCGTTCTCCTCGACCGCCGCGGTGAAGGACTCAAGCGGGTTTGTGAGGTAGTGCGGGTTCAAGTTCGCGGATCCTCCACCCCCAGCAATGGTCTCGTTAGCATTAGGGCCGATCCATGCAACAGACTTGATCTGCTCCCTCTTGATGGGCAGCGTGGCGCCCTCGTTCTTCAGCAGTACGATTCCGTGGGCACCGGTTTTCCTGATGAGCTCTCTGTGCTCGAGCTTGTCGACCGCCTGCTCTTCGGCCTCCTGGAACTTTCCCCATCTGCCTGTCCTGGCGATAAGCTCCAGAACATGGCGAGCACCAGTCTTGATGGCTGCGAGAAGCTCCGGTGATGAGTTCGTGTCCTGGACTGCCTTGAGGAGGAGCTCGCCACGGCGGCGGGTGGGGCCGGGCATCTCGAGGTCGAGACCAGCAATGAGGGACTCGGCGGTGCTGTTAGTGCCGCCCCAGTCGGACATGACGAGGCCGTCCCAGCCCCATTCGGCTCTGAGGACCTGCTTCATTGAGAATGGATGTAGGTCGGCGTGGTGCTGCAAGCAACAAATTAGTAGCTGCACTGATCATTGATAGGGGAAGTTATTAACATACCGCATTAACCTTGTTATAAGAGCTCATAATTCCCCATGGTCCCGCCTCTCTAACCGCAATCTCAAAGGGCTTCAGGTAAATCTCCCTCAGCGCCCTCTCGTCAATGATCTCGTTGACACTAAATCGCTTTGTCTCCTGCTCGTTGGCAACGAAATGCTTCATTGTCACGGCCACGCCCTCCGCTTGGACTCCGCTGATGTAAGATGCTGCCAGCTTTCCAGAGAGATATGGGTCCTCGGAGAAGGACTCAAAGTTGCGGCCTCCGAGTGGCGAGCGGTGGTTACATGCTGTGGGGGCAAGGAGCACTTGGGCTGCCTTGGTCTTTGTCTCCTGTCCAAGGGCGTTTCCAATATGTGTGATGAGCTCGGGGTCGAAGGTTGCTGCGAGGGAAACACCAGAGGGGAAAAATGCGGCCTGGCAAAAATAAATCAGTCAGAATAACCACTACTACCATCACCACGAGCATTAGCCACCACAGGGTACTGAATTACCTTTGTGCCCCCCGAAAAGAACTGTCCTCTTGCGCCACTGGGCCCATCGGTGACCTTGATGCTAGGCACCTTTCCAGGAATCTCGACGGTTCTCCAGAAGTCCTTACCAGCGAGGAGAGAGACTTGCTCGAGGAGTGTTAATGAATCAAGGACATCATTGACCTTTTTCTGCAGATCTTTAGGAAGAGGTGAGACCGTCATTTTTCCCTAAGAGAGAGAGAGAGAGAGAGAGAGAGAGAAAGGAGGAGGATATATGAGTGAGGAGCGAGGGCGTGATTGATTGATTGATTGACTTGCCTTCCAATTAAGCGGGAATTGGGGGTTATATACAGGCATAGGCTGGCCTCATTCCCACGTTGAAGATAGTCAGCCATCTACACAAAACGCGGCCATGTATCTAGAGTAAACTATACTACCTGGTCAATATTTTTTTTTAGATAGCTAGACGGGGCATCGCATCACATAGCTCCATAAACCCATCACACTGGCATCGGGGACAGGAACCCATCCACTCCGACGACTTACTAGAGACCAACTCTGACTAGCCAAGCGTCCCCGGCCATGATTTCTCGGTTCTTGCCGAGAACGTTAACCCAGTTGCTGTCCCCCACCACTTCTCGTGACCCCGGATTTCACACAACCGAACCACACAAATCACCCCTGTTTTATGCGGGGGGAAGGAACTCTTACTCTCGTCTGCAGGCAGGAGCAGCAGAGTGTTGGTACATAGGGGGAGCTGGTTGCCTTTTTACTGGAGATATATTTGTCGCGGAGTGTCGGCAAGCCTGGCTGTGCAGCGCAGGCTAAATACTCTAGCGTTAGTCGGGGAGTGTCGCCCCCTGATCCGAGCGTACATATAACTCCTCTGCTCCCTTAGGACGCCCGGCCTGATGGGTACGTCATTAGCGGCCAGGAACTCCTGAGAATAGACCCCTCTTCTAAGCCCAAAAATTATCCTTTATGAAATTCCGCAAGCGAAATATTCCTTAATTCAACCGGAGCTTCCGGGCCGCGATTCCTATAAAATTTTGGTTAATAATTACTTCAACGGCTTGAAAACCTAGCCCCAGAGGGCCGGGAGAAATAAGCAATGGTGAATTGCATAGACGAGACGCGTGAAGAGCTGTAAAAAGTTAAAACCCAGGAAAACCCACACTGCATTACAAAGCCACCCCCCCCCCCCCCACACACAGGAACCCGAACAAGCAACCCGGTTGCAGAGGAGGGTTCAACCTCCTAGACTACAGTTACAGAGCGCTCATACCCGCCCCCCTACATATGTAGGTACTTGCTCTGCTCATAGAGCTGAAGTATCATCAGATATGGCAAAACCTCTACCCGTGGGGTCGGCCGAGATTGATTTATCAGCGGCCGGCGATATGAGCGCCGTGAGAAGAGTAGGTAAAGAACCTTCTCGTAACCCGGCTATCTGCTCAGAAAGCCTCCAGGTCAGACAGGCTCTGATGTAATCTTGATAGGTGGTCACATAGGAGGAAGGTTGACTGGGCATGCGGCACAACGCCTTGGGTCACCGACGCGTTTTTATTAAACGCATTTTCATCTCTGGCAGAACCATTCCACGGTGCCGCAAAGTTCACCGGTGCATTTTATACCTGATTCGATTGCATAGAATGGTGTTAATTGGGCCAGATAAAAAGAGGAATTCGTCATCCAAACTAAATTTATAAACAAAGGATCCATATAGCTAGCAATATTGCTGCCGGTTGCGAAAGAGAAGTTGTCTAATGGCCGTCGGCACCAAGCACAAAAGCAACGGATATTAGAGCCTTTCGTTATTCTAGATCTCGAATGTAGACTTTCAATTCATGATAATTTGCCCGCCAGAGTCCTCGAATTCCGTTAAAACGGGAATCTAATCTTATCTAATCAGCTCGCCATTTCGAGTGATACTGTATGACCAGCCACCGGTAGCCGGAAAGCACAGTCGTTTTTTTTTTTTGTTTAATTCATCGGAAAGCACAGTCCGTTTCTCCAACCGCTACCATCCACGCAGGTTAAACCCCCGAATAAAGTCTCATTCTTCTAGGTATCCAATGGGGGGATGTTTAATGAGAGAGTTGAGACATGTTTATTAAACTAAAGTGATGCCTACGCTGGGGGCAGCATGCATCAATGGTCAGCCGGTGAGGATGGTTGCTTATCATCGAGGGGAGAAAAGGATGGTAATCACCAACCAAGAGAAACGCAAAAGGACAGCATACTCTGCGACCACGTGGCTTAAAAACGGTTGTAATCATCAACGGCTACGTATCAGAAACAAACTTTACAATTTACATGTAACTTGAGAGCTAGCTTGGATGGGGTGGGGTTGCAATTGGGGTCCGCAGGGATAGAGGCTTCTTAGCTCGTGAAATGCGAACATGTACATACATGTAGTTGTCCAAAGTTTAAATAAGTGAGAGCAATTGCATATATGCAATTAAAGCTTACGACGCCGTGTCTTTTATAATTGGGAACACGGTCGCCTTTCTAGCATTTCGGGGACACCTAGGCCTCTCTCTACTTTATATCGCACCAATACCTTTGAATAATATTATTGTTGAATGTTCCCCTACAGGACTAAACGCTTCCAAACATTCACGCCCCCATTGATTTTAACAATTTTAAGTACGTTTTATTCATATAACTAACTCAGCACTCGAGTATGTAGTCCTTGTGTCTACACGGGTCTAACCCTTACCTCCCCAGCCAAAAGTATCAGGTCGGTCCCAACCAATCTAACCAGGGTAAGTACTGAGTCTATCCGCTGCCATTGTCAGTGTAAGTCTGAAAATAGGCGCGTTCTGCAGCAACTTCAAAAAAATACGGTAACACTACCAATATTCACTTCAAGGTACCGACGATGTGAATCAATGAGAATTCGTTCCGAGACATCACTATTTTAACCTTATTCCGATCTACATCCCCTTGAGGCGTTGCTTCAAAGACGTGGCTCGTTTGTGTAACTGAGGCTTCGCGCTCCACATTGGAGCACCCTAAGCAATGAAAATGATTAGTAAACCCTTCGACAGGGCTCTGGATGATTTTATTAATCACGCTAAGAGACTTGTCAGCATGGAAGTAAGTAAGCTTCTGACTGCGTACAACCCTTAGACGCCATTGCTATTTATTTCAGTGGCTTAGATTCGAGCAACATCTACTCACAGCCACTGCCAGTAATAACACAAAGTCGCTTTCCAAGCCATATCAAAGGGACTGTGCTGCAGAGATTAGAAAGCATGCACGGTCTCTCAAATTTCGGGAATCGCGTTCCCAGCGAAAGGGGTAGCTTCCTATATATTCTGTCGCCATATTAATAGCCATATCTGTGGTTCGCCAGTCCAGCAGTACGGCAATGGCGCGATATGGCGCAGTTACAACGTCGCGAAACACCTGGTTACCAGCTGGCTGGAAAGACTTACCAAGCTTTATGCACAACGCTGACAAGCTTTCCACGACTCTAGAGGGGCCAATCAGCAATTCTCCAGTACCAAGGATCTACTGGTGAAGTTGCAGAATTGGCGGGCTGAGTGTTTGATCGACTAGCCTTACAGCATCCGGTAGTTTGCTGACCTCTTTGTTTGATATCGGAATTCGGAAGCACCGGTGGAAGAGCCCTTTTCATTTCATTCAAATAAGGTCTCTTCGCCCGCCACAACGACAGCACCACCCCCACTCACTCGCTACAATTAATCCAATTCTCCTCCCATAATTATAATATCATGGCATCTTCACAAAACTCCCCCAGTACCAAGCCGCTCCTCCCTTCATCCGCCCCGATACCGCTGCACCCCCAAAAGCAACGGATCGACTACTGGGCTTGGGAATATGTAGCCCTCCTCGTCTCTTTCCTCGCTGTCGCTACCAGTGCAGTTGTTCTACTCATGTTTGACCAGAAACCTATTCCCGCTTGGAGTTGGCAGAGTAATGGCATAAGTGTGAATTCGATCATTTCTCTTTTATCTACCCTGTCGAGGGCATCACTACTCATGCCGATTGATGAGTGTATGGGTCAACTCATGTGGTTGAGGTATGAGTATCGCGCACAGAGGCTGGCGGATGTGGGTTTGTATAACGAGGCATCGAGGGGGGCGTGGGGGGCGTTGAGACTGGTGTGGAGGCAGAGAGGAAGGTGTGTATAATCCACAAGCTCTTCAGACTTTATTAATACTAACTCATATGAAGAACTTTGGGATGTCTTGGGTCCTTTCTACTCATCGGTTCTCTCGGAATCGGAACTGCACAGCAGCAGCTCCTCTCTTACCCTAGGCGTAGATTCGTCGATCTTACCATCATGTCTAATCTTAATCGTGCCCTCGAGTTCAATACATATCAAGGGTCTACTGAGGATCCCGCAATGTCCTTCTCACTACTCTCCTCAATCTACAGTGCCTCCCTTTTTTCCGCAGCAAACAGCACCTCGACCGCCGCCGAAGTGCTCCCTCTCTTCAACTGCCCCAGCGGTGGCTGCGTCTTCAACACCTTCACCACACTCGGAATATGCAGCGAATGCAACGACGCAACCTCCCAGATCATCCAACTCTGCGACAGCGACAATAGCTACTGCACCGCATCATTCCAAGGCCTACAAGCATTCTCCTGGAGCGCAAGCTCCTCGACAGAGCTCAACACCCTACTAAACCAGTCCTCCATCACCAACTCCTCTGTTCCATCCAACGTAAAATCTCCCTTCGCACGAACTGCACACCTCCAAGCCGAATACGGTACCGATGGGTCCCTACCCCCCCGCTACACCGCGGCCGAATGCGCAATCTACTACTGCGTCAAAGAGATCCAAGCCAACGTCACAAACGGCACCTACACCGAAACAGTCCTCACCGCGCTCGAAAACACCAACCACAACCCCATCACTACCTCCGGAGACATGACTATAACCGGCGCCGCCGCCAACGAAAGCTTCCTCATCACCGCCCCCGCCCACGCCTCACTGGTCGGATCCCACGGCCTCACCGCAGCCCTCACCGGCTCCGCCCGCAGCGGCGCCAATAGCACCACTCAGCTCTTCACCTCCGACATCCTCCGCGGCTTTGCGCAGGACCCTGACATCGCGCGCACTATGGAGTGGGTCAGCACGGCGCTCACGAACCGGCTCCGCAACTTGGATCGCACTGCGCAGAAGGCCATGGGTGAGTCTTATACCGTGCAGTCGTTCATCCGGGTGCGGTGGATGTGGCTGCTGTATCCGGTGACGCTGTGGACGGCGTCGCTGGTGTTTTTGATTTGTGTGGTTGTGGAGACGAGGGGGAGGGGGATGAGGGCGTGGGGGGCGAGTCAGTTGGCGCTGGTGTGGTATGGGTTGGATGCGGAGACGAGGGGGAGGGTGCGGGATGGGGGTGGGAGGAGATGAAGGAGGTTGCGGAGAGGATGTGGGTGAAGTTGGAGGTGGGGGAGAACGGTGAGGGGGCGAGGTTGAGGGCAAAGAGGGTTGAGGGGTGATAAATGCGGTGGAGGCTTCTGGGAGTGGGTTTTGCAATTTGGGGCGTAAAAGTGTATGGCGTTTCTTGAGTTTTTCTTTTGTTTGGGTTATGTGTGTATAGACATTAATTAGATTATGGCCATTTATATTTATTCCTACTCTTAGTGTGCTATATCGTAGTACTTGGTGTTCTAGTTGCCCATTTCCGTCTCGCGAACTCGTAATCATAATCTATCACTCGCCCAATTGCCAACTCACAAAAAGAAGCAATCCCACCCAAGCACGTCCACGAAGATTCAAGACCCGCCCAAGCCCAATTTCGAATCAATAATGCAATAGCGTAGAGCGGTGTTCAAATCCAAAGTCGAATCACAAACTAGGGCTTGGTGGCCAATCGAGTGATATACTGTGACTAACATTTTTTTCTTGCTTCTCTACCACGCCAGGAAATGCATCACAAATGTATCACATAATGTATGATGAAATGCATCCTCTGTACCGGGTCGGCTTTGTATCTGGTGCGTGTGGCTATGCATCGGCGAATGCATCGGCATATGCATCCCAGTCCCATTTGACGATTTTACGACGGCCTTCCGACGCAAATGTGTCAGTGAAGGGATCTGTAAAGGGATCAGTATATTCGTCTTGTTTCATGTTCAAAAAACTATTATGTAGGGGAATTGAACGTGGGTTGTTCCGCACATCTTGCCAGCTAGGCCATCAACTGCTATGGTAACGGCATGATAATAGCTATTATCAAGCGAGTCTATGGCTACATATTTTAAAAGAAGAATTTAACTAAGTTCGAAATCGGGATTAATTTCCATAACAATTTCCCGGCGACTTGCTGCACCAATTTCCCGACGACTTTCCCGACGCCTTTCCCGACGTCTTTCCCTGCTAGTAATCTAACACTACCCTTAAGTGCGGCGGTACTAGCAGTGAAAGTCGTTCATAAAATCGTTGGTAAAGTTGTAGATATAGTCGCCCTTAGGAAATCAGGTGATATTAGGAACGAAAGGTTTAGGGAAAGTCGTAGGGGAAATCGGCAATACACGCTGGGAACGACTATGTCTACACAGCAGTGCCGCGACTGGGAAAGTAATCAACAAATGAATCAATAATGCATCGGTAAAAGTATCATGTGCACCGCTTAACAGAGCCCTCGACAGGTGATGCATTCCCTGGCGTGGTAGAGCTTTCATTTCTTGTGTTTTAACTAAGCCGTGTATATAGCCATGAAACAATTAATCTCTATCTTTTGTTACACGTACATACTAGCCAAATCCAAGAGGGAGTTCGTGGCCGGTAGGGTATATATTGCGCCTGCAATGCCGCCAGACTCAAGGTCCGGCGTGCGGGGGATGGAGGGAGATGGTGCGTCAGGTTCAGGTCTCTAGGTAAATACCAAATACCGACTCGGGGTTAGTAGCCAGGAGTGTCGGTTTGGGGCGGCGAGCTGGCATTAAGGCTAGTTAGTTGGAGTTAGTTATTGATGTATCTACGGGCAAACGAGATATCAAACCACCACTGCACCGATCATATGCGGGTAAATATCATACTACATCACCTTCACCCCGCAAGTAAATAGCTGGAGACAGCTTATGGCGTGTGTGTGTCAACGCTAAGATCGACTCGCCGAGGTCAACGAATCGATTCCTGGTGTTGAGGAAATATCCACCACGGTCTTACATATACAAAGGGCCCGCTTTCAGAAATTGAAACGCCCGCTAACAAAGATCTTTAGAGCCTCGCGAGAGGAACGTGGTCTGGTAAACAGGAGTTCGTTATTGAGAATAGGGGATCCTTAGTCGATCGTGAGAGTAGGGAGTGCCTCCCCCACGACGCAGTGCGCACACCCATATTAGCACTGATCATTGCGTCTGGAAGTACCAGATAACTATATAGATAGACGCAGCCCACGGGCCACGAGCTCTAATGGTACGCTGCCTCGAGCACCGCTGTTATCACACTACCGGACACCAGCGGGCGACCCTCGCAGCCTCAGCGTTACTACAAGGTGTGAACTTGGCCGCTGACGGCGGGGCCGCCATATAGGAGGCACGCAGAGATTCAACGCAGCTTTAAAGAAAGCGCGAACGTCCTCCAACTCCTGTAACTGCGCCTATATCCAACCCTATCTCGGTCCTATTAATTGTAACGTCGAATCATCTTGATACAGTTGGGGATGCGCCCCGACCCTCGCTTGTTTGCTAGGGTTATCTAGGGTTATCTAGGTGTGTTTTATGACGCTTGGCTTGACGGCGGGAGTCAGTAGATCTAGAACTGCTAATCCAAATTTACAGCCGTCAGTCCCAGCGGAAGCAGAACAAATGTGTGAACCGCAACGCTAGCTGCGTATGCGGCGACCAAGATTTCTTCATCAGCACCAAGCAACTAAGAGAAAAGTGTCTGATTGTCGAGCCATTACCGGAGGCTTTAGCTGCCCATGTGTTGGAACACCGGCTGCCCGGTAAGTTCTGTTCGTTCTCGCCGGCCATGATACAGCATGGATCGAGTGATATTCAATGATCTCGGCCACCACCGGGTTAGGCGTGACGAGAGATGTGGTTTACGTGACACGGCTTCTGTAAGTTATAGGTGTCACGGGCGTGAGGAGACATATTTGGCCTGGATAAAGATGCATTCGTGTTCGAGAAAAGATGTTTCTACTACGTGTACTTAGTTTGAGATATATTCTCCCTCCCTTGCTCCCTCTCGTTCTTTCCCTCTCTCTTCTTCCCTCCTCATCAATCTAATAGCGGGCATCAACTTGGGAAGTCTGGGCTTGAGAACTCGATATCCAGACCTAAGCTTCCGGTCAAAGCATCAGGATAGATGCCATATCGCATGTTCGATCAACCTGCCGCTCGTAAGATAGGAGCACGGGCCTTACATCCACCGTCAAGCACGCTTCTCCCAATTAACCACAACCCTAACTAACCACTCACAGCCTCTCACTCGCAGCACAAACCTCTCGATCAAATCACGATCCACCTGACCTTACACCAAACGGCACGCCCCAATCAACCCAATCAACCCACGCACCACATCGCACCAACCCCCAGATCGAGTCTCCACGAGAGGAAAAAAATAAAAACAAAAAAAAGATGGGATGAGACGCGCGCCGTGGGGCCCATCTCAACAGATCAGACAGATCAATCTCATCGGCCGCTCAACCATCCACATCTGGTCACTTGACCACCTCGACGGACAGACGGGTGTGCAGTTCATCTCGATTTTGTGGAGAACGTTCGACATCGGTGGGGCTTTTCGTGAAACTTCTTCCTGCGGCCGGAGACATCGGACTCGGAGATGCGGTGGAGAAGCTAGCGGACGTCATGCATGGTCGGGCATCCAACAAACCCCAACCCCAACCCCAACCCTCTCTCCCAGGCCAAAACCATAGAAAAGAAAAGAAAGCGGGGGAGAGTTATGATGACGGTGATAGACTTTTCTACCGCATGTACTCCGCTCCGTCGCTGTGCATTGATTCCGGTCGTCTTTTGAATTCGGGGCGACGAATTGGCTGGATTTTTAATTTTGGCCTGGCCCAACAACATATATCTCTCTACACAGAGTACGAGTTCCACCCGCTAGTTGAGCAACCTAAGTACACATGTATGTAGGTAAGTAGAAGTATGTAGGGAGGTACATGGAAGAAAAGTAAATGGATGGGTACGCACGTCAATCAACCCCGCTCATGCTCATGTTCACCCCGCAGCTCCACACCCACTCACAGGTCCCTCTGCCCCAACAGAAAAAGTAATTCGGGATTTCCAGGCTGCATGGTCGCCAAAGAAGCAACGGGCGGAACCCCATTTTTGAAAAGCAAAAGGCAAGAAGGGAAAAAAGTAACCATGGTAATGAGTGAGTGGTAATATGCATTCACGGCCCTTTTTAACCTCGTCAAATTGTTCCAACCAATCCCCCAACATAAAAAGGTATATACAACAAGCAAAAAAACAACCAAACAGTGGTTTTCCCCCCCCTTTCTCCCACGAAATGAAACCCAAGAAATGCTTCTACATAATGATAACGATGATATATATAAAAAACCGTTTTTCCCTTTTTTTCCCCCTTTGCCCTTTGAACCCTAAATGAAAAAAACAAACAAACCCAAGCTTTTTTTGTAGTCCGTCCGTCCGTTTCCCAATGAGCCCTGAATGATGATGCAAGGAAAGAAAAGAAAAAAGGAATACAAAAACGCTAGAACAACCAGAAAAGTCAAAAACCAAATCGAGGCGCTTTATATCCCTTGAGCTAAAAAAAATGCAGACCACAAAAAAACACCCCACAGAAAAGAAAAACAATTACAAAAAACTAAAAAGGAAAATAAAAAAAATATACACACGAAGCAAACAAACCCTCCCCCTCACTCTCGCCCACTCATGCGAGCGCCCACCTACAGCTCCATATCAATCTCATTATCCTCCCACCCACACCCATACCCATACCCAAACCCAAACCCACCCCCCACCGTCGCCGCAGCAGGCTTAGCCACCCGGTGGTGCACCCTCCTAACCTTCCTCCTCCCCCCCTCCACCACTTCCTCCCCGCCGCTCTCCCCCTCCGACTCGATGCCACTATCGCCCCAGCTACCGCCACTACTAACGGACCCCACACTCTCCGCATAGCTCCTCTTCCCCGCACCGCCGCCGCTTCCGCGGGCCGTCAGGCGCTCAAACCCATACAGTATACTCTTGTGCGACGCGGCCAGCAAGTCCTCGTCGTCGTCGTCGCCGCCGTCCTCCTCCTCGTCGTCAGAGCCATAGACGAGCGTGCGTCCGCGGCGGTAGTTCTCCGGCGCCTCCTCGAACTCGAAGGGGGCGGCCGTGGCGATGGCGGAGTCTGTGTCTGTGTCTGTGGGGAGCTCCTCGATCTCGATCATGGAGGTTGTTGTTGCTGCTGTTGATGATGCTGCGGAGGGGGCGGGGGAGGGGGAGAGGGATGGGGGCGTGTTGGAGCGGTGCGTGTAGGGGTTGTAGGGGAGGGAGGGGTGGTAGGCGTGGTAGTTGTAGTTTGGCGGGCGCGGGATTGTGAGTGGGGTTGTGAAGGGGCGGGTGGGTTGGGGGGAGAGGTAGGTTGACATTGTTTGTGTTTGTGGTTTTTGTGGGTTGGGGTGAGGTTTAATTCGTAGTAGTAGTAGTAGTAGTTATTCGCAGTAGTAGTGATTTGTAGTAGCAGTAGTTGTAGTAGCAGTAGTTGTAGATTGTAGATTGAGTAGACGCAGAAGTGGAGTGAGTGAGTGAGTGGTGGCCGACCCAAGGAAGGATCCTTATATCACTTCCCACCCGCACTTAAAGTACACGTTGTGGGGTGATCGATAAAACAAAATGTGACGTAGCTAGCTAGTCGTGGCCGTTATAGAAAAAATAGAATTGAGAACAAGAACAATCGATCCGCAGCAACCAGACAGCACAATGAATGGGTGGAGAATGCGCTCTTCTTTATATATCTAGTAGAAAGTGCAGAGAAGGGCCGGGAGGAGGGAGTAGAGGAGTAGTTAAAGAAGAAGAAGATCAATCACTAGGATGGTGGTAGGTGGTGGCCGAAAAGAAAAAAAGAATTAATTATAATTACCAAAATCCAGAGGGGGGAGGAGGAGGAGGAGGAAGGAGGAGGAGCATGTCTAGATTATATGTACTCATCCAAATTTCACGCATATGTACGTCTGCAGTGTGGTGGTGTGTGAGGTGATGTGAGTGAGTGAGGTGAGGTGAGTGAGTGAGCGAGCGAGCGAGTGAGTGAGTGCGTATGAGGCACAACAAGCAAGTCAACACCGGCACAAAGGGACAAGACAAGACAAAAAAAAATTCCCATTCCCATTCCCGCCCGACGACGACAACTCTAATTTCCCACAAAGGCCGAAAGAAGAAAGCGAAACGCAAGCCCTATGACGGAGGACGTCAGGCGGTTTCTTTTTTTCCTTTTTTTCGTCTTCTTCTCACTTCCACGTAACGCCCGCTCCAACTACATACTCTACCTACTACTAGCTATGTAGCTACTGCTAGACCGAGACCGCCTACCCTATTCCTCCCCCGGACCCGAAGCGGAGGAGCAATGATGCAACGGAACCCAGTGCCAGTGCCAGTGCCAGTGCCAGTGCCAACGGGCGTGTTCAGCCTGCTACCAGTTGCTACAGGTAGCCCATTATTATTTTTATATTATTATTTTTTGCTGCCCATTTTTTCTCTCCCTGCCCCCGTTTTGTGCCCAATTGTGCGAAGAGCAATTAGATGACCGGGGGGGGTGGAAGGGTATTATTTTTTTGAGTCATCCTAGCCATTGTGATTCGTGGTGAGGGAGGGAAAGTGACGATTGCATCAGGGTGCAGACAGATATCACAACTCATCCATTGTTGGGGGCGAGAAAGGCTACATGCGGACTGGTGCGGGTGTACTTAGTTTGGAGCGGAGAGGGGAGGGGAGGGGGGGAGAGGGGCATCAACTTGAAGGTAGCCAGCCAGCCAGCCAGCCAGAGAACGACGACGATAGGGCAGCGTGAACTGTTACGTTACATGTAAGGGAGGAGGAGGGAGAGGACTCAGAGGATGAGTGGAGGGGAGAGCTGGCAACAACCTTCTCGCTCCTCACCTCACTACCTACTATCCCACATACCACAATTCTCACCACTCACCTCCTCCTCTACGCCTGCCTTGTGTCTACCATCTCTCACCCTTAGGACTATCTCCGTCCGCGTACCTACAAACCTTCACGCTCACTCACTCACTCGCTCTCGCTCTCACTCACTCGCTCTCGCTCTCACTCACTCACTCACCTGCTTGCCTCACTCACTGCCTGCCTACCTGCCTACCGCGAATACCACAGGAGCAATCCGCACCACAATCAAACACGCCAGCAGGCCCCCCCAAAAAACAGCACCTCAATCCCGCGCGCTGTCCTAATCTCCCATCCTCATCGGTTCAATAATAGAGCATCGGTAAAGTTGGGTAGAGTAGAGTAGAGCTTCCCTCCCCATGCCAGCGCCATCTCGGTGATCTGATCTGCCGTGCAACTCAACCCCCGGGAAAAGTAATCGGGTTGCGTGGTTGGGGCTGCAGTTATCATCTGCACAGCACATATGAAAAAAAAAAAAAAAATTTCATTTCCCAAACCCCCCCCGAATGCAACCGACACAACGCCGGTTTTGAGCGCGATATCGATGCATATTGGGGATGGACAAGTGTTGAATAGAGGATGCACTCACTGGGCTATCGATGACCGCGTGTAAAGGAATGTTGGTTGATGGCCTAGAGTACCTTGATAGAGGGCCAGTCAGAGTGCACACATGTCCCTGGAGCCCAGGTATCACTCTAGGTCCTCTGATCTTCGGCGGGCGGTGAACGGCGGTCGCTCATAGTAAGCACCAAAGTAACTTGAATTTGGCCTTGCAATGAATGACTGAACGCCGGGGATCGCGATTGTCCCAAGTGCGTAAGATGTAGATGTAGACAGGTGTGCTCATGTAGGATCTCGCTTCGCTTGCTTGCTTGCCTGTCTATCTGTCAACGACTTCTTCCTCCTGTCCACCACTCTCCACTGCTATCTCCCACGCACGCACCACCCACAACACGCTATCTGCATTCAATCTCTAGCTCATGCTCAGTAGTCTGGCTTCCACCTCACACCTCACAATATATATCGCCATCACCATCATCACATTCGAATGCATTCCAATTACAACCGTAGCGCAGTCTACTCTACATAGCCATTCCATCCATCTGCCTAATCTGGTCTGCAGTTCCGCAGTATTCTCGTCTCGTCGCGTTTGTCTGTCCGTTTGCAACCTGTCTGTTGATGCAACTAAATTTAGCCCGTCGTTACCCGGTAGGCGAGTGTGACAGGGATCGGAGAAACGTGCTGCCGGGGTTGTTGAATGGCTTTTTTTTTATAGCGGATCTTTGCGGCGGCGGAGGCGGCGAGCGGTGGTAAGGGTGCATATACCATATTTGGATGATGTCTCGAGGTAGTTAGAGTAGAAGCAGGGCGTCAATGGCGGCGTCCTGCGTGGCAGAGGAAAGCTCATGACAGTTTCAGATATAGCAGTAATTCCTCATAAGTGGCAATTTGCGCACGATTCACAGTGAAGAGGAAACCTATTTATGACACCGTAAGTGTAAGAGCCCCTATGCAAGTCTCGCCGGGAAACTTGCTGGGACGCTTGTTGGCTTTTGGGAGTAACACAACCAGTGCGCGCCGGCGTCCGCTAGATAACGAACGACGTTGTGTAAAGTTCAAAAGCTTGATCTACCCAACTACCCCCACTACACCCCCAAACGTGCACCTGCATGGAGAGAGAGAGATTAATGAGTGCTTATCTTATCTCGCAGGCAGTGGTGGGGAAGAAGGTGTTTGAGTGTAAAATCACGAGTTATCACTCGGTTCTTATCGCGAGTGAAGATAGCCGCCTTATCGGAAGTGTGGCCGCCTCAACCAGGGGCTGCTGCGCAGGTTTTATTATTGGGGGGGATTTTCTTCTGTACTGCACTGTGATTGATTGATTTGACGAACAAAGCTGAGATGCAGCCGGGAATCGTAGATCGTTGCAGCTAGGCACCATTGAACACGATCAAATGGTAAACGGGTGGGTTACACCATCCTCAACCAATATATATCATCTTCCATGTTTCAACACGAATCAGAAGAGGTAGAAACAAAAGTACGAACCTACATATCACTATTTTGTAGTTGGTACACAGGTTCTCACTCGATCTACCCGGCCACACGAGCAGATTGATTGACAGCTCGTTAATTATGTTTGGCCACACAAGCAGAGGCAACATTACTGGCTACCGGAGAAACTGTTGCATCCGGTATGCCACACCTCGTCTATTTATTATCGAGGTCATGAAATATTCATGTAGGCTGGGCTGCCTCGATTCCCGCAGCGAGTTTGCATGTCGTGTACCGCATGCACGGTCTCTCTAGCTGCAGGCATGAGATCTGCTCGACCCTTCCGATCTCAGGTAAGTAATACTCGTCGTTTCTGGAGTCTGGACCAAACAGACCATTATCTTGACAAATCTCGTAAACCATCAAGACTCCTCGAGATAACGAACGCCACGTACAGTCTCGTCCTTGCGCTGCGCTTTCTTAATCAATTGAGACAACAATACATTTATTATGCAATGAAACGGATCTTTCATAGGTCCGATGGCTTGAGAATATCGAATGAAGCTTAGAGTGCATTAGTACAGATATTTCACATGTGTGTAGAAGCTAGAATTCAAAGGAGGGTGGGAGGCAGGGAAGAAATCGGGCTGCAGGTCAAAGAGGAGAGTGGGGGTTACCCAGAGTTACGGAGTATATTTAACCTATATAATAGGATTTCTGGCATATAGGGTTGATGTAAGGAGATTCCACCACGGGGATTAGGGAAGGAAAGCAGTGCTCGAAGAGAAGCAAATGATTATACAGTGAAGTGATCGAGGAGCAGACGGAACGAGAATGAAGAGAAGATGACCAAGGAAGAGATTGAAATGTTTGTGGAAGAAGGGGAGATTGTGTTAAGAAAAAGAGTTGTCTACAAAGCCGCTAAAGCCCGTACACATACGTACGCGTGTTGTTGAGCACAGAGCCTTCGAGGCGAATGTGGCCTCTAAGTGTTTACGATACAACACGTTTATGAAACCAAGATGGAATGAAGCGATCAAATTCATTAATCCATTATAGAAGTAATATTATAATTTACAGCTAGTTCGCTGATGGACCTATATTAGTTTATGCACAGATTATCACTCGATCCTTCTAGAGCGCGATCGGGGGGATACCTAAAAGTGGAAAATTCATGTAGTTCACGAACAGCCTCTTACACAGGGCCGGATCTATATGGAACTGGGATGCTTTTCTTCCTGATCTAGGAACGCACCCTTCACTGAGAAAGAAAATAAGGAAGTGTGACCGGCACTAGTACGCAGCAGACGATGCCTACACTGCCGTACAATCAACCCGGGATCTATACTCGTCGCACTTCATTCTCTCTGTACTTACTAAGAAACTTATCACGATTCGACCCTTAGAAATTCTATCTTACTAAATTTCTAGTGGTTGGAGGGAATGATACCTGTAGTTTGCTAATAAATACCTCTCT